GATCCGGAGCTTTGCTCTCCTATACCCGGGGGCACCCGTGCCCGCCCTAAGGCCCACATCAAAGTTTTTTGTATAGGACTTGAGAACTCTAAGCCGGTATGGCCAAGAGACCCCAAGCCATTATCAACCGGGCCACTCCTTGGGGGTTGCTTTGCCTAGAAAGGTTAAGACCACTTGATATTGTTGGGTATTTATAGGTGTTGTCCTTGGAATATTAGTATCAATAGTTTTTTGATAATCAACAATATACATCTCTGCAGTAGGTGCGTTTCCCTTCATTTATACTAGTTCATCCTCTTGGCATTGGCATAATTTTTGGGCTTTGTTTCTTCCTAGTTGTTGGTTTTTAGTAGGCCCAACAAAGATTACCTTTTCCTCGAACTTTGTGACTCATGGCTACACATCTTAGTTATTAGAACGTGATTAATAGTGATTTTCTAACGACCGATGAATGTGATTGTGTTCTATTGTCTGTAGGTCGAACTTGTCCGGTACAGATTGGGTTTTGGTCAGTATGAGTGATGGTAAAAAGTATTACTACAACAATAAGACGAAGGTACTGCTCCTTGTTTTCTTGTATTTTTTTCTTTTAAATACCTTTTCCCCATTATGATAGGGAACAAGGCTTTGTATATAAAATAAAGTATTCGAAAAAGAGGGAGACTGTATGGAATTTTTCTTGTTTGAAATAGGTATCTAGAGCTTGTTCCTGTTCATAACAACTTGTATATATGAGAAAATAGTCCACTGCAGTTAGTTCTTAAAAGTTAAAAGCTTTTCTATATGTTGAAGGACCGGCAACTTTCAATTATTTTCTTGTGTTAGCGGTCTTTTAGAAATAACTAGCCTATTATGCTTCTTTTTTGTGTGTCTGTGTTTGATTTTATATGTATAGAATTGATGATGCTATTCCATTAAAAACATAGAAAATAACATGTATAATTTCCACGAAGTAACTAGAAAAGAAGCTACAATGTATCTGCTGTCATATACTATATGAGGTAGGCAGTGGCTGAAAATTGGATTTATTTCTTAGAAAAGGCGTCTCCATCCAGATGGTTCATGTATCATTAGACATATGTTCTTTAAACTCATTGGATGAAGAACATGATCCTCGAAATCATATTTCTGCATTCTGTCCTTTACTTTAGAATGTTGTTATGAAACGTATGGCTCTTGTAGTAATTTATATTAATAGTAAGTTTTAGCCATGAAATTTTAACCTTTTATTGGTGCCAACTTGACTCTCTCTCTGTCTCCATCCAGATGGTTCATGTATCATTAGACATATGTTCTTTAAACTCATTGGATGAAGAACATGATCCTCGAAATCATATTTCTGCATTCTGTCCTTTACTTTAGAATGTTGTTATGAAACGTATGGCTCTTGTAGTAATTTATATTAATAGTAAGTTTTAGCCAYGAAATTTTAACCTTTTATTGGTGCCAACTTGACTCTCTCTCTCTCTCTCTCCCTCTCGAAATCAGATTAGCAGTTGGCAGATCCCAAATGAAGTGACTGAATCGAGGCAGCAGAATGATGAAAAAACGAAGGAACGTTCAGCTCCTGTGCCAAATAGTAATGCATTAACTGAACAAGGATCTTCGCCTATCAGTATCAGCACTCCTGCCATTAACACGGGTGGTCGTGAAGCCATACCCCTTAGAACGGTAGGAATATCAGCGTCATCATCTGCCCTGGATTTGATCAAGAAAAAATTACAAGATTCTGGAACTCCTGTAGCTGCCTCGCCTGTTTCAGCACCAACAATAGCCCAATCAGATGTAAATCTGCCGAGAGAGGCTGATGCTGCAGTTAAGGGACTGCAGAGTGAGAACAGCAAGGATAAGCCAAAAGATGCTAATGGTGATGGAAATGTATCGGACACCTCCTCAGACTCCGAAGATGTAGACAGTGGGCCAACTAATGAGCAGTTAATTATCCAATTTAAGGTATCATCTTACTTCCCCTTGATTGCAGATCAACATAATAATCTGATGCATTTTGTCCTTCCTTTTCCTCCTGCCTTAAACATTTGACAGTTCGATACTAGACGAAGCTTTGTCTTTTTTGCTAATCTTTTTTGTTGCTAGTATCTGGAATATCAAGTTCATTCTAATTTGGATTGGGTCCCTTCATGTAGGTGGTTTTCCTTTTGGTGGGCTTGTTTTTTTATGCCCCTTGTATATTTATTCTTTCATGTTTCTCAATGAAAACTCGGTTTATTATAAAAGAAATCTGTGTCTTTTTCCTGCATCTTGATCTTGGGTGTGCTTGAGCCTCTGTGTTGTAGATGCATTAATTTCACACCCATTATGAAAGTCAGCCAAGCTTGCTGCTCCATTCATGGAGCAAGTTGAAAAAGAGTTAGGGAAATTAAGCTGCTTCCCTTCATCAGGCCAACATTTAGTGAATGGAAAGCAGGTCTGGTTGTTGGCCTATCAGTGTAGCCACGTCATATTTCTAATAATTGATCATGGTCTTTATTTATATTTACTTCTTGTTACTATCATTCCTGAAGTTGCCATCATAAGTTTCCGGCCATATTATCTTAAGTTTAAGGAACTTCTATCCTCTGCAATCTCAACTGATCTGGTGGAAAGTGCTCATTATGTTGTATGTAATTGTAGGAGATGCTTAAGGAGCGGGGAGTGGCACCATTCTCTAAATGGGACAAGGAATTGCCGAAGATAGTGTTTGATCCCCGTTTTAAGGTTTGTTGAGTATAAAGATTTGAATTACTTTGTTCGGGAATAAGGGGCTCCTACCAATGGTACCCCTTGATACAGGTTTGTTTGATTTTGTTTGTCTATGTTAGACTACTTTCATACATTTGAATTCTTGGTTGACACATGATTTTCTTTTGTTATGGCCTCTAACAAGTTTGTTCATCTGTAGTCCTTCTCATTATAATACCAGTAACTTTCTATTTTCTCAAATAGACTTGCATCTATCTACCTATGTAACATTTTCTTGTCTGTTCTTTTCTTTTCTTTTCTGACTTTGATCTTTGTGGTTATATTGTTTTGGGATATTCCTTTTTCTTAGAACCAGAACGTGGTTTTGGTTTTACTTCTTTCTTTAGAGTTAGGGTGCAGAATGATTAATTGATAGTTTATTACTAGAAACCTTTATTTTTTTTAAATATAAAGAACACTATGTTTGTGTTTTGCCCTTTATGTGCTGGATTACTGTTTGTTATTTGTTATGAAAAGTATCATTTAATGACAGGCTATTCCAAGTTATTCAGCTAGGAGGTCCCTGTTTGAACACTATGTTAAGACCCGTGCCGAGGAGGAACGGAAGGAAAAAAGAGCTGCTCAAAAGGCTGCAATAGAGGGATTTAAGCAGTTACTGGATAGTGCATCTGAGGTTTTATCTCTTTCCACATTGATTATTTTGTCTTAGGTTGCTATATTTGTTATCATTGAGCCTTTTGAATCAAATAAGATGGACGAGTTCATAACCTAGGTGAAATATGATACTTGTTACACATTTTTTTTTCTTTAACATAAATTGTTTCTCTCTCTAATCAGAATTACAAATACCTCAAAATAGGGTCAAGCATGTCCTAAAATTTTAACTTGGTTCCCACAGAAAGATTGGGGATTTTGGGTATCAATATAGAATATAGACATTGTGCTAATCATGGTGGCCACCTATCTAGGATTTAATATCCTACAAGTTATCTTGTCAACCAAATGTAATAGTGTCAGGCGGTTGGCCCGTGGTGGGTATAAACGAGGCTTTTGTTGCTGACTACTTTGCACTTGTTTTATTTTTATTTTCAGGATATTGATCAATCAACCAGTTATCAAACATTCAAAAAGAAATGGGGCAATGACCCACGGTTTGAAGCTTTGGATCGCAAAGATCGGGAGAATTTATTGAATGAAAGGTGCCATTTAATGTGTAATAGTATGAACTTTTTTTCTCAATCTCGGTACATTTATAACTCTGTTTTATGCTTTCGTGTTGATTTTTCAATTTCATAATTATCTCGTCTAATTGGCAAAGTAAATCAATATGATTATCATAGCAATTTTCCTGTCTGGTAAAAATGACTTTTTCAGGTGGTATTAATTATTATGATGCCAAGGTTGACTAAGGTGCATTTCAAACCATTATGTGTTAGCCAATCATCTCCCGTATGTTGCCCATAGAATTTTCTAGGAATTTCTTTTTTGAATTTATTCATTTACTAATTGTTTGCCGTGAGGTTTTCTACCATTGGGAATGGGTATCCTGTAATATTAATTTATTGGTTAAAATACACATTTTATCCGTGAACACTGATTTAGTCCTTGAACTTTCAATAGTAACGATTTAGTCCCAGTACTTTAAACTTGATTACAATTTAGTCTCTACTGTTAAAAATTAGGTTAGATTTAAAAGAAAGCTAACGTGGCTAATCTATGTGTACAAATTAAATGGCCAGCTGTGCAAGTTGGTTCAATCTCGGGTCGGTTCAAACTTCAACCGGTTTACGATTAAAAAAAGAGGAGAATAATTCTAAAGAGGAAAACACCACCCCACCTTAATGTCGTCGTCTCCTCCGTCTCGTACAGCATCTCCGCCTTCTTCTTGTTCTTCTTCTCCACCTCTTTCAATCCTCCTATTTCAGCAGATCCTCAAACACCCATCCACACATATAGATCCCAAACAGGGAGGGGTGTTGTACAGTGAATTGTTTTTATGGTGGATCTTGTACTCCAACACCACAAGAGTCACCTATTGGGCTGCGTCGAGCATATCCTTCCTGATGATAACAATGGTGAAACTAGATGTCCCCACGTTCTTCTATGCTCTCGCATAAATCACCCCAACTTTAGATATGTTCACAGGTTCGAGTAGAAATTGGACGACATGTCGGCCACCAAGAGGCTATTCGAATATGGATAGTTCTTGAATTCAACTTCATGGATGGTCTCGTTCGCTCAGATGTGTAGATATTTGGCATTGGGGGCTTTGTTCCAGGTCCTCGAAGGCGGGGGTTTTGGTGCATTTTTTAGCTTTCCAGACCAAATTACCTTTGACTTGCATAATTTATGAGCCTCCTCGAACGCCTTGTTGCCCCATGGGCCGATGACGACGGTGTCCTCAGGCTTGCACAGATTCAAAGGAATTCCGGCGAATTGAGTGGAATGGTGTAATCTGCCAGAACATCGAGGAGGCTTCAGAGACCTGCCTCAGCCTTTTAGATTATGGAGGTGAAATATTTGCCTTTGTGGCTCGTCTCCATTACGCTTATGCCAGATCTGCACCTGTTGTATAGCTACGACATGGTCGCCAACCTGAGGGCAAAGTTGAACACTCGATCATCGGATTGATTGTGGGCCGGTCAAGATTGAGATGTGCTTTGTACATGGCGAAGGAAGAGGGATAATTTTTTCCATCTCCAGTCCTGTAGATGACGGCGTCGACGGTGGAGTAGGCTTGGACAACTCAGATGGCAGTGATGGTGGTGGGAAGGCTTTGAAAGAGTCGCGAAAGGTGGGGTGGTGTTTTTCTCTTTATATATTTTTTTAGAAATCCTATATCGATTCAAATTTGAACCGACCCGCACAGTTGGCCATTTAATTTATACATATAGATCAGCCACGTTAGCTTTTGGTTAAATCTAACCTTATTTTAAACGGTTGGGACTAAATTGTAACCAATTTTAAAGTACAGGAACTAAATTGTAACTTTTGAAAGTTTAGAGACTAAATCGTTTATTTTAATGAAAGTTCAGGGACCAAATGTGTTTTTTAACCTAATTTATTCATTAATTCATGGTTTGTCTGCTTTTAAGCTTGGGATTGCAAGACCTAGGGTCGTTTCATAACTCTCTCTCAAGGGTTTATGAAATCTTCCAAATCTACAATTTTCCTTATTTCGCATGGGGATGAATGAGAAAGGAAGGGGTAAAGGGAGTACTAAATTATTTTTAATTTTGATTGTCTACTTAGTTCTTAATTTTATCAATTCCTTACTCTTAATTTTGGTCAGTTACTTTTTTTACTATTAAAATAAATTAACTAAATATTAGTTTGATCAATTTAAAATTCTTCATTATAATTACTTGATTAAAATAATCTATTACATGTAATTTTGGTTAACTTCATTTTTTAATATTGCAGTTATATAAATATTAATTAATTAGTTCATTGACTAATATATTTTACTTAATTTTAATTAATTAATTAATATTAGAACTAACTGGTCTACTCTACTTGATTTCAAATTCCTTTAGTACTAATTGATTGATTTAAAATTTTATTTTTGTTCATTTATTTGTTAGCATTGTCTATTTTATTGATTTATATAATCAATGAATTTTCTATAGAGAAACTAATGCAAAATTTTATACAGATATCTTAATCCTAGACATCTTGTTGCCGAACATCTTGTTCCCATTCAATTTTTGAAATAAATGCCTTAAATTGCAACTTGCACGGTTATTTGATCAATCTGAGATATTTTTTCTTGATATTTTTGTGTGATTTCTATATCTTCCCCTTCCAATTAACAACTTTTTTTCAATTAACAACTTTGGCCTCCTAGTTATGATGGTGAGAATGGTAGTTTATGTTTACATACATATTTAAAATCGTATAATCAGGCTTTCAGATACTAAAAAGGTTTGGCTCGTCTTAAAATAAGTTCACTGTGTTAACTTTTGTGAAAGACCTATACTTAACATGCCTCTTATTCAATTTACTCAAGTTTGACTGTGAATTTTAATTATCTGTTTTCTGCAAATTGGAGCTTTAGCCGTTCTACATATTGTATTAGGAGACTTTATTTACCCGCGACATCGCCAGTTACTCTTCTTGGTATGCCTTATGATCATGTCTTTTGGAATTTAAAAATTTGGTTGCGTCATTCCTTTGATATGTCTGCCCTCTTTGATATGGTTTTACACTAGGTGGATACTTATTCAAATGTAATATCAACTGTTTTGTACACAGAAAGTGCTTACTATTGATAACCCCTGAAAAAGCAACTTGAGTCAACAAGGTAGTAGGCTAGTAACCAGAATCTCATATTTATATTTGATGTGTCTTTTAACTAAAATCTATTATGTTGGCTTTTAGTTAGATGATACCTCAATTTAACTTGTAGGGTTATTTGTCTGAAGAAGGCTGCCGTTGAAAAGGCTCACGCCTTATGGGCTGCTTCCACCACTAGTTTCAAGTCCATGCTGCGGGAGAGAGGAGATATCAATGTCAATTCCCGTTGGTTGAGGGTGGGTGCACCATGCTCTCACTAATTGGTAGTTCATGTTCTGATGAGTATCTGAATGTCTATTTTCCTGCATGCTAATGGTTTTTTTCCTTTTAATAAAAGTAAAATTTTGTTGGAGACATGTGGCTAAATAATGTTAGTTAAGAAGGCAGATTATAGTATTCTCTTAATATTTTACATCTGAAATATCGTTTAGAGCAAGAGTCTGTTTGATATGCAATTTGGATTCAGTTTCTTGTTTTCAAGATTCACTGAATTTAGTGAATTCAGTGAATATATGTTTGACACATTTGTTTTTTAAAACTGTTTCGGATTCTGTAATCCAAATAGTAGAATTCTGAAAACAACATAAAATTATTTTAAGTGGTTTTAGATTTTGAATTTGAAATTTTAAAATGGAAAAAGTTACATTAAAAAGACAAAAAAAAAAAATTTGATAAATATACTATTTCATGTTATAAACTAATTTTATTTTTGTTAAAATTAAAAAATGTAAAATAGAATATATTCTAAAATTAGCTCTTGGGTGTAAATGTTTTTATCCCCCTTCAGTAGCTACTCTCAAAGTGCCTTGCTTCTAATTGGAAGTCTTTTTTGTAATTAGCCACTATAGCTTTTCAGATATTTCATACCATCAATGAAATACATGTTTCTTACCCAAAAAACCCTGTAAGTTTGTCCTCTTTTTTCCTTTTCTTTTAAGTTATTGCTCATGTTTTCTGATTGTTTTTGTATTGGTTCACTGTTTTTAAATAGTGAGCAGAGGTTGTTGGAGAGAACGAATATGATGCATTCATAGAATGAAAATTTTCATCTATGCTGCGCCAGTTTCAGGTCTCATAAACTTGATGAAAGATTATATGTAATTAGATTCAATCTGTCACATCAACCCAAGGCACAATCATTTAAAATTTAGATCTATATCTGCACTTATAATGTGAAATTATACGACTCGACTAATAGTTAATATGCAACGTTATTATGAACATGCGTCTGTAAGGCTGTAACCGTTTCTTACTACCCCTGTTTTTATGCTTTAGGTAAAAGATAGCCTACGGGATGATCCAAGATACAGATCTGTCAAGCATGAGGAGCGTGAGATGTTATTCAATGAGTACATATTTGAACTTAAGGCTGTTGAAGAGGAAAAACAACGTGAATCAAAAACTAGAAAGGAGGAGCAGGTATGTAAACTTGAATTCCCAACCTTTCCCTTTTCCTGGAACCTAATGTCATCATCTGTTAAAGTTGTATGTTAGGTGTCTTGGTTGGTTATTTGAGGCTGTGTTTTCAAGGTGCATCAGTGAGGCACCTTTTGATTGCCGAGTGCCATTCAAGGCAACCAACTTCATTAAGATGTCCACCTTCTTCACCTTTTTATCGTCATGGCTATTCATTCATTCTTGGCAACACAAGTCCTTGCCATGAGAAGTGCCTAAGTGGCCTAAAAGAGATAATCTGTCATGCCTAAATTAAACTGAAACCACCCCTTACCCACGTTAAATGCAATCCAAAAAAGCTACAAAGATTTTGTAATAGTGTCCATATTACACCATCTTGGTGGTATTTTAGGAACAAGAAATTCTTTTGTAATTACAGCGTCTTTCAAATCTCTTAGGATTGGAGAGCTATTCTCTTTTAGTCTACTTTAGTTTTTTGGGAGGGCGACATCTTGTCCCTTGTCCTTAGGCTGTTTTGGTTCATTCCTCTTTTGATTGAATGAATGTTTCTTATCAAAAAAAAAAAAAGCTACAAAGATGTGTAAGTAGCATAAAGGTGCCCAACACGTCATTTTTTTGACCAAACATTAAAACGAAAAGAAAATTAAAGAATAAGCTAAAATAAATAACTAACCACTTCCCCAATTTATTTGCAATCAATCCCATTAAAGAGACTAGAACAACAAAATTTTACAATATTTGGACTCACCGACAAGGGGGAGAAGAGAAGATGTCAGAGAGAGTGGTGGCAAGCAAGCATCAACAAGCGGCAGCGAAGACGAGCAGTAGCGCAAGCAAGCGCGGTGGAGAGGAAGAAAAATATGAGTGCAGTGAGAGGCAGTAGGCGATAGGGGAGAGAGCGATGAGCATTAGGTAGTGAGGGTGACAAAAGGCTGGTGGCGAGGGGAGACAAACAGTGGTGCAGAAGCTTGAAGAAAAGGAAAAGGAGAGGCAGGTAGAGAAAATGAGAAATTAAGGAAGAAGGCGCAATATTTTAGGGTTTAAATGGATTTATACCGACGCCTGTATTCCGTCGGCAAAAGCCTTAAGATTTGTCACCCTGTGTTTCCCACCAAATGGTAGGGTATGGTGTGCCAAAATTTTCCCAATGGAAAAGAATTTCGTTGGAGAAAAGAATTGTCAATGCTGTTTCTGTCGCCATAAATAAAAATTCTTGTAGCGGACGATTTTTCCCTTGCCTTTGATTAACATTTGGGCTGATTTTAGCCATTAGAAGATGACTTTGACTCATGTGAAGGTTTATGTTTTAGCCTGGCTTTTCTTTAAATCAAGCATTTGGATTTCTTTTACTGGAAATGATATTACAATATAAATATTAATGTGATGGAATATTAAATAAATGAATAAATAAAAGAAACTGGAAGTTCTGCCAAAGTTGACGGACCAGAAGAAAAACCTTCTAGTTAACTAAAAGATCATTTACCCTGTGGGCATGAAGCACTTACGTCAAATTAAAGCAAGGGTAAGAGCCGAATTCAGAAAATAATCAAAGTAGACCTCTTTGTAATTACAGCCTCTCTATGATTATACAGGACTGGAATGCTCTCATTTGCTAGTTTTTGGGAGGGGGACGCCTTGTCCCTCGTCCTTAGGCTGTTCTTTTTGTTCCTCTCTTTTAATGAATCCTTTCATATCCAAAAAAAAAAAAATTCCTATCCAAGGGAGTTACGAAGAATCCCTTGATGTAAAAATCTTATTGAGTTGGAATCAAGAACCTTTTGGGGATATGAATCCCTAATTCAGAAACATTAAAATCCCAGATTAGATTACAACCCTAAGATTTAGGTTAAAAACAGATCGCCTTATGATCAAAGCTCTTGAAACAAAGAAAACGTTCCTTATCTCAAGAGTTGAATATTCTTTGCCTGCAATCTAAGAAACTTGAAATTGCAAAGGTTCAAGAAGCACTTGGCTAACTTAAAAGTTGAAAGAAAAAGCTCAAAGGCTAAATTCATCCTTAAAAATTGATCTAATCTATGTCAAAAAACCTAATGACAATACTTTAGATAGCCTCCCAACTAAAACCTAGATGCTACATCATCTATGATAGCCAAAAGACAAAAAAAAAAAAAAATACATGTTATTAATATGCTCAACAAAGGGTAAAATTTAAAAGACATCAAAAGCTCTTAAATAAAAGTCTATCACAATTTGAAGTCGGAGTGGGTTCATATCACCTCTCCAATTGGATATCAAAGGTGTAGTTACTTTCTAACCTCAACATTCAGAAAAATGCCTTAGTTATATGAAGTCATAGAAGATCTTTGAAAGGATGGCTCAAAAAAGTAGAACAAAGGAGGATACGCATGTTATTGTGGAGTTGCTGTGGAGGGCCAGTTACCCAAATCCTTTTTTCTCTAAAATTAAATTTCAGGTGTTTCGTTTTAAAAAAAAATATGAAAAAAAAAACACAATAACCACCTTGATCAAAATTGTGCCTGTTTGGTTTGAAACTTAACTTCCAGTTCCACTGATAATTAATGTGCTATCCCATATCACAGTTGTCACTAGGATTCCACATTAAGTTTTCAACAATAGTTGGAAGCCATGCAGAATATTTGCACTAAATTTCTAATGCTTATTTCAGGAGAAACTGAAGGAAAGGGAGAGAGAATGGCGGAAACGAAAGGAAAGAGAAGAGCAAGAAATGGAAAGGGTACGCCTAAAAATACGGAAGAAAGAGGCAGTTGCATCTTTTCAAGCATTGCTTGTTGAATCGATCAAAGACCCTCAGGTATATCTTTTGGGCCATGATTATGGGGTTAGTTTTGGGAAAATGAAACAAGAAAAGAGAGAAGGTAATGGATTAAGAAATATGGAGCCTGGTATGTCTATCAGTCTAGTGTAATAGGGTTTGACCTTTTGCTGGTGAATTTAAAAGCATAATCAATTAAATATTTCACTTAAAATTGTCTGGCATGAAATAAACCGTAAGCTGTTGGATCATTTGTTTTTCAATTAAACGGCATCTGATCATTCCCCTACTAATGAGCAATAGTCAAACGCATTCTAGTTTGGTTGATCCTTCAGTGTCAACTATGTCACGCTTTTTTTTGGTGTGCTTAGGCCTCTTGGACTGAGTCAAAAATTAAATTGGAGAAGGATCCACAAGGGCGTGCATCTAATCCTGATTTAGATCCATCTGACACAGAAAAGCTATTCAGAGAACATGTAAAGATGCTGCAAGAGGTAATTCTATGACTCACTGATCTTAGACTTTTCGTCCGTTTCACTACCATTTGCAGATCAATGTGCAATATTATTTTACAAGATGTGTATGATTTCTCTACAGTTTACTTTTCCAGGTTTCTTTCTCTCTTTTTTTGTTTTCTTTTAATAACTGGGAGTTGGAGCTTTGCTCCCCATACCTCGGGGCACCGGCGCCCATCCCAAGGCCCCCCCGACCGTAGGAGACATCAAGGGTTTTTTTGTATTAAACTCACCGAAGATCCGAACTTGAAACCTCTAGGTCGATATGACCAAGAGACCCCAGGTCCCAAGTCCTTGCTAACAGGCCGCCTTTGGGGCTTTCCTGTTTTTCTTTATACTGGTTTTTACTGCATCTATTGCAGTTAATTTGAATTTTGAGCTAGTATTACATCAAGTCATGAAGTTTTTATAGATGCCTTTCTGAGCTTCTGATATAAAGGGAGGCAATCTTGAGTTTTGATCTCATTCCTTCGATTCTCTTCCCGTATCTCTACCTCTATGTTCTCTCTCTTCTAGGATTCAAATTTTATGAAAACTTATTTTCTTATCTTATTGTGCTGTTCAGCAGATGCTTGTAATAATACGTCCAAGCTCAATAAAATTTGGGATCATGTTTATGAATCTGTTCGTTTTATTCAGTGATGCCTAGGCCTAAAAGCTCTTAGATTGGAAATAGTTGTGCGTTCTAAATTTCTATTTCTTGTGGAAGAATCACCTGCGTGAGATGTTGATTGTTTCACTAATTTTCAAACCAAGTGGTATAAGACTAGGTAGTGTACACTTTTAAGTATATAGCAAATGAACTTAGAAGAATTGGGGGAACAGTTGTGTAAATCGTTATACTGTCTGAATAATTGCTTTCCAGATATTTAACATGACATGAAAGTTGTTCTCTTAATGTAGGTTGGTGACTCATGAGTGTCCATTCACTGCACTACAACTGGAGTGAATGTTTATTGCTATTAAGAGAACGCCATCGCATTATGTCTCACTCGATTTCTTTTCCGTTTGAATTTCTGCAGCGTTGTGCTAATGAGTTCAGAACTCTATTGTCTGACGCCTTTACAGCCGAGGCAGTAGCACATGTATCAGAAGATGGAAAGACAGTTCTTAATTCTTGGACGATGGCTAAACGAATTCTGAAGCCTGATCCCAGATATAGTAAAGTCCCAAGGAAGGAAAGGGAGGTGTTGTGGCGTCGATATGCTGACGATACATTGCGGAAGCAAAAGTTGGTAAATGATCAGAAGGGAGAAAAACATGGCTCAAAGAGTAGAGCAACCACTGACGCTGGAAAATTTCCTTCGAAACCAAGAATCCAAGAGTGAAGAAAGCTTGAAGCGGTTTCTATTTCCAATTTTTTGGGGTCTGCATTTTCAGATTATTTCGTCACAAAGTGAGGAAAGGAATGGTGACAACGTTCAGTTCTGACATAATTAGTTTTCGTAATGCACCTTTTTGGTGTTGTGTTAGTTTACTGGAAAATATATTTTTACTGCTCAAGGAACTGGTTCAGTAGTTGAAATAGTTTGGGGAACCGTTTATTTATTTATTTTATATATGAAAGGATGGTCTTAGAGTTAGAAATTTTATGCCTGGGTATTAACTATTAAGTTGGATTCCATAGAATTTATAAAAGTAACATGCACACTATCAATCACGTTACAGCAGTAACTCTAGATCATCATTTTAAATTTAACTTCGAAAATAATTTTTGCACTTTAAAAAGTTTGTGTACTGTCATATTAAACATAAATTAGATAAAATTAACATTTTAAACTACAAACACAGCTCTGCAAAGGACAACTTATTCAATCATAATTCCTTTATTCAATACAACAGTGGGCAGACCAGAAGTATGGGTGCATTTAAGATACCAAAATTGAAGCTCACCAGTACGAGTGAGACTTGTCCTCAACCTGCCCTTGCGCAGAGCTGCCTAAGATAAAGCATTTAATCCCGAGCCGTTCATATTGTATTACCACCCACGGACATGCAATTTTCGCATGACTGAGACCGTAGATGGTCCAACCACACGTCCATCGGTTTAAAAGCGAACAAGAGGAAAAAGAAAGAGACAACGTCATAGGATGTTCTTATTCGCCAGTAACATGTCCTTCCAGGCCTCATAAAACATCCAGGTGATGCCAGACGAAGGCATGACCTTCAAACAGCTAGCACCCCATCCTCTGTAGAGTCCCTTCAGCCCTTCCTCCCGAATCACTTCAGAAATTGCCGCTGCCATGTTGGGTGGGCATTTGCCCTGTAGAGCTCCCACCATCAGTCTTTTTCTTGCCACCTCCAAAGGAAAGCTGATTGTGCTCGCTGTGAAACCTATCCACATCACATCCAACCCAAACATTTTAGGACCAGACAATGAAATGATGAAAAGAATCATCTTCAAGATGCACTCCTGGACATCTAAGTCAAATAAATGAGCCAAAAATTCAATTTGAATGCAATTCTACATGAGAAGCAGTTTATGTGCCTCCTTAGAACTCAAGGACACGGTTGTACAACCTATAGAATAGAACAGATCCTGTTCAAGAGTTCATTACAGAAATTCTACTTCCAATTTCCAGTTTTAATTTTTAACCAGACCCCAATCTATTGACTTGGTTAATATGACTAATACAACGGAAATAGAAGCAAATATATTCATTTAACAAAAATAGATATTAAATGACATGGTCTTTCATGAATCATTCCAGAGAAATAGAAGAAGCAAAGGTCAAATTACTCACCTGCAAGAGCTCCAACCAGAAGCATCTCTACACGGTTTAAAGAATTCTTCTTCTTTTTTATGCAGTATGTTTTCTTCATCGTCTCGTACATGAAATAATAACTTGTACTGTATGGAAGCATACCAGCCAGTGTAGGTAAAATACCCGCATATAATGCACCAATGCCACCACTGTTGTAAATCTTGCTAACTGCAACGCTTAAATTAGGATAATCCTCAGGACTGACTGTCAAGCGATCCTGTATTCATAAAGTAAATGGAAACAATATTTTTCATAGTCAAAGAAGTTTTAAGTTGATAATTCTTCAAAGTTTGCAGGGAATAACTCTTTCACATCAAGATGATTGGGCCATAAAACCCTATGAAGAAACCATTGGGCAAGATCTTAATGAACTGGAACACATAGCAGTTATGAAATCTAGGTTGTCGTGAAAGTAGCGTATGATAAATAGAAAAGAAATTTCACTGCAACATCTAAAACTTCTACGCCAATAAAAGAAGATGTGCAACATTAATACCTTCAAAACTTCAAGCGGATGGCATGCAAGAGTGCTAACAATACCAGCAGCAGCACCAGCCACAGCAACAGGAGAAATCCAGGAGAGCGAAAAATGTAAAGTGACAGGGCCAATATGTATACTTGGATGTTCACTTTTACTCCATTTCTCCTGTGCTGATGTCATTGCTCGTTTTACACACTCAAATGTTCCCAGTTCAATTGCCTGCGTAGGAACTATACGAACCATATTGATTGCATTTCCAGCCCATAGACCTTTCCAACCTTGCTGCTCAACGACCTCAATAAAGCTACCAGCAATGTTTCTAGATCCAACACCAACCACCATTCTTGTCCTGCATATTTTCATGTGAGGTAATCATCATATGTTATCGAAATGATCTGATTAGTAGTCCAGGTAGATAACATTGAAGGTTTGTAGAAGCCAAAATTTAGAGCAAGAAAACTTTTAAATAATTTTCACATCATAAGACATAATACAACCTGAAATAACATATTATCCATGCTTTAACGTCCATATTATACATTTCCCCTGTAATGCTAAACACTTCGACATGATCTGATCCCTAGCAAATCTGCTACCCCAGTAGCAGTAGCATCCTTGCTTTTCAGCCTTGAATGGTAACTCATAAGTAACTTAGAACATTTCGCAATATCATCGGTTTGGTGTTATCATCTTGCAGATAAAATTATATGACATGCAAAAAAAAAGTAAGAGAACTATAGATGAAACTTGAAAGTGATTACAGTGAAAGCCAACCTGATTGTCTCGAGAGGAGCAAGCACAGCTTTTGTCATAGCCCCTGCCATGGCCCCACTAACAAACTCAGCAACTTCTCTAGTCCTAAAGAAGTCCTGAGCGTTCAATCATGTTTAGATTTAACGAGGAATAAAAGGCTTCATTCATACTTTTTTTTTTCCTTGGTATCAATAAATTAATTATATCTTGACAGAGTTCGCTATTTGTTGCACTGTGGATAAACTAAATGTTATTAATAATACATGCTCTTTTCGATTGAAGTACTGGCTAGTACAAGAAGTCCCAAATCTAGACACTAAAAAACACGGTTTCTGTTAGATAATATACACCAGAAGGATATAACTGAACGGAGCAAAAACAAATTACAGGAATCAGATACAATTGAACATGCAAATAGAAAAGCCAAACAGAACCACAAGTTTAATCCATCTGAAGTTTTTGGAAGTTGAACTAATGAAACTCAAAACCCACACTTGACTTCACCCAGTTTCTTTGTTATAAATAGCTAGTGACCCAAAAGTGGGAGACAAGAAATAGTTTAGGTTAATGAAATGATTCATAAAAGGAAGAAAAAACAGACCTATCCCATCCAACATTGTAATGAGAACTCCTCGATAATTATACAAGTAAAAGGGACTCACTTTAATGGCAAGGCTGGGATCCGGAAGGCGTAAGCGAAGCTCGAAGGGGGATTCAGTGTTGTTATTGATTTCAAGCTGTTTGGGAAGCATCGCGAGGCCGAATGAAATATCATCGAAAACACCAACGCCGTTCTGCGACTGTGATTCAAACGCCATAGATTTGGTGGATAGTAAACCCCGATGCTGAAGTTGAAAACAGCAGGAAAGAAGAAGTTTTATTCGTTGACGAATGAAGAAACTAATTGATCAAATCGAAGAAAATCATTGACGTACCTGGAATTTGGAATTTGGCGACATTGAAGGAGATTGAGGGAGTTTGCGGAAAGATATATCTGTGTGTTCCCGCTCCCTCTCCAAGTATCAGCAGGCAGCGTGGGCGTTGATGTTCTTTCAAAGAGTTGAGGCTTTTCTGGACTCCGGAAGAGTCGCAATGGAGTCGCAGTCAGGTCAGTTCAATATGAGACTGGATAAAATTTATACGGTTCGAGATCGTTGCTTTAACCATAATATACTGTTGATGTAGTAAACAATAAATGGAAGAGAGTATGGTACTCCTATATTACTATCAATTTTCTGGTGACACTGAGTTATAGTGATCCGCACACGATAAAATTTATAGTACTAGAAAGTATCCTACCCCTCCCATTTATATAATAGATAGAAAAAATTGACCACGCGTCGTTTATAATACACTGCTAACGTGACAAGTAGTAAGATAAATGGGGGTATGGTATTCCCATAGTACAATAAATTTTCCCTACGGGATAAAATTTCTAGTACTATAGTAGTACTATACTTCCTCTCATTTACACAATAAATAGAATAAATGACCCCACGTCGTTTTTAATATATTACTTATGTGGCAAATAACAAGCGGGAGGGAGTGTGGTACTTGTGTATTACCATAAATTTTATGGTGACACTGAGTCAAAGTCACCCTTGCATGAGAAAATTTATAGTACTGCGGAGTGTCATACTTTCTCTCATTTACACAATAAATAGAATAAATAGATCACATGTCATTTTTAATAAACTGTTAATGTGTGGCAAGCAGTAACTGAAAAGGGGGTATGGTATTTCCACGTTATCATCAATTTTTTCAACCAAAGAAAAATTATAGTACCATTGGAGTACCATATTTCCTCACATTTACACAATAAATATGATAAGTGATTTTTTTATACATTACTGACGTGACAAACAATAGATGAGAGGGAGTGTGGTACTCCCATATTACAAGAAAATTTTCGATGAGATTGAGTCATAGTCATCCTCACATGAAGAAAATGCCTAGTACTACTGGAGTACCATCCCCTCTCATTTATACAATAAATACAAGAAATAGACCCACGTCATTTTTTATACACTACTAATGTGAAAACCATTAAATAAAATGGAGCGGAGTACTCTCACAGGCACACGTCCAATTGATTTGAATACGGGTCAATTGCCTTGCCACGTTTTACTCTCCAATTGTTATGACAGATGTCAATGTTGAAAAAACACAATAATTGAAATCATTTCGACCAATAATTGAAAAATGTAAATAAAGTACAGAATCCAATTCCAATTCAATTCCTAATCTAATATGCGAATGGATAACGCACACACCTACAGCAAAAGCTCTTGCTTTTTAGTCATATACGAGGCGCGCAGATTAAAGCCTGAAGGGAAGAGAATGGAAGATATTTCCACGTGTCAACGTGGACACCGCCAAAATATCTCTCCAAAATCCACCAAAACAATCGCTATCTTTTCTTCACAACAAATAAAACGTTTATGTTAAATTTCATTCCATTTCTTTTCTATTTTTCTCAATAATACGGGTGGAATTTGTGAGTGAAAATTAGGAATGGCAATAGGACGGGATAAAGTCGGGGAGTCATCCTCATCCTCACCCGGTTGGGGATTTATTCAATTTCGGGGACGGTTCCCTGTTAGGAATCCCCTTTAAAAATAGATATTTTTTTTATAAATTTTTATTTTATTTTTAAAATTTTTAATTAATTTTGTATTACTACGGGAGAATAAATGGTTAATTGGGTTATTAGCTTGAGTTTTTTTAGTTTAAAAGTATTTATATATATATATTAATATTATTATATAAAAAATAGGAAAATAAATAAAATATTAAATGAGATGGGAAATCCTCTTATCTCTGCCGGAGACCCCGATTAGGATCCTGGTTTGATCCGTCTCCCTCCAAACTGAGGATTCCCCGACCTGATCGAACTTAACTTCAGGCTTTAATTTATTTTTGCATATTACTAAATTTGTCCACTGGCTTTCTAACTCTTTCCCATTTCTCCCTAATCAAAATTTCAACATTTTTTCTCTCTATATCAAACTTAACTAGAGACGATCCACCACATATTGGATTTGGGAGGCTCGAGCCCCCTTCAATTTGACAACATATATTAATAGATTACTCAAAATTATAGACACGACGCCTTAGCATTGTGAAATGTGCGTTTCCAACCTCGCTTCGATTGGGTTTGAATCCTACCTAAACTCTTTTATTTTTATTTTTGTTAGTTTTTTTTTATTTAGTTCCCATGTGTACACTTTTTTTCAAAGGAAAAAAAGTAATAAATTCGTGTGCGTATTTTTTATATATTTATTGATTATCCTTACATGTAAACTTGAAATATATATATATATACATATTTTTTGTGATTCTAGGTTTTCTATTTTATAGTTTTAAATCACAAATTTTCTTTATACAAATATGTCATTTTTTAAAAGGAAAAAAAGTAATAAATTCGTATGCCTATTTTTTATAAATTTATTGATTATCCTTACATGTAAACTTAAAAAAAAAATTAAAAAACATATATATATAATTACAATTTGTAATTTAAAACTATAAAATAGTGATTCTAGGTTTTCTATTTTATAGTTTTAAATTACAAATTTTCTTTATACAAATATGTCAATTTAAAATATAAGTATATACATATTAGCGGGATATTTAACTCTAGTTTTATAAATGAAAATTTATTTTAAAATATTTGAACCTAAAAAAATTATTATCAAATTATACATATACATTTACTATTTATCTTCATATAATTATTGAGGACAATTTAAAACTTATTTATATTTTCAATTTATACGTCATTTTATATTTAGTTAATATTTTTTCAATTAAACGATCAAACCATATATTTTCTCTTTTGGAATATCAAATATAATTTATTCTTCTCTAAAGATGAACAAACTTTTGAGATTCGATTTTGTTTTTTAATTTAAATTTTTGTAGAGTATAGAAGTGACATAATCTTTAAATTCTGTTTTTATATATATAACTTTTAATTTTGAACAGAAATTGTTTTTTAATTTAAAGTAAATAATGAATACCTTATGTATTCTTATATGTATTTAATATTCTCTAGCCTTAGATTTCTTTTTCTTTTTTAAGGCGAAGAGGTAAATAAAAAATAAAAATAAAAATTAAGATAATTATTTGATTTTTTTTTAATTTTCTAGTAAGAGTGCCAATTTTAAATCTAATGAACAATATCTTTACATGATCATTCCTATTCAATAAAATAAATGCCACAATATCTCAAATTTCCAAGTAAAACATTTTAAAAAATGAGGACGGTCACGTTTTGAAACTCACACACCAAATACAAATATATTCAAAAGTGTATTTTATCAAAAAGAAAATTAAAATATTAGAAAGGAATTATTATTATAAAATCGAAAAATAGAAATTGAATGGACCCAATCTCAAGAATTACACCGGGTCTAGGTCATGATATGTATTATATTAATCAGTGCCTCCGTGAGAGAGTTTTTCCCGCGCTCAAAACCACCAAGTGCGACGGCGAGTCGTTGCACAGTCATCGCCCTACCGCCGCCGCCGCCAGTCACCGGAGTTGGTGGCAGCCGGATTAATCCTCTCCCCAATCCCTTCTCTTCTCTCAGTCTCTACCCAATCATCGACGACGATGCATTGCCTTCCATGCATTCTACTGCTACTATTCTCGCCGCTGTTCACTCTTTGCTTCCCATTTCCCTAATCACTTCCAATTTTTCTAATTATAATTTCAAACGCCGTCTTCTGGAAAATGACTGCGAGGGTTCCCACGAAGACGGAACTTTTGACCCGCTGGCGAGGCATCGAGGAAGAAGAGGACACTGACGATGGCTTACAACCTCATCGTTTTCAGCAGCTTAAAGAGGAATGGTCTGTCTTTGCCTCTCATTTTCATCCGCCCAATTGGGTTTCCTTTTTTAACTGCCAATTAAGTTTTTAACTAACTAACTAACTAATTAAATTTTGTCGTTTGTTCAATGCCACCATTTATACTATAGTCATTGCAAATGTTGCCAGAATATTGACATTTTTGCGGCAGCATTAGTACAAAGTTGGATTTTGTTTTAAAAAAATTCAATGTTCTCCTGACCGGCTAGTGACTAGCTATAGTTTACTTTTATTTTAGACAAAGTGTTTTCATCTTGCTAATATCTGCGTGTTATCAAGTAAAGACTGTTTGGTGCATTTGAAAGTTTAGTAGCTGTGGTTCCTTTCGTATTCTATCAGGTTTGCAGATGCTTTCAATGTTCTGATTAGTTTGCCCAAAGAAAGTCACATTTGGTGTGGCTCTTGGGATATAATGGGGCCTCTTCTGGAAACATTTTACAATTACTTCAAGGATGAGGGTCACGACTCTCCTCTCAGGCGCCTATGGAAGAGGATCTCTATGGAGATGCAGCATTGTATCCAGTGCATTTGTCAGCATCATCAAGCCAAAGATATGTATAGTTTGGAGTATGAGTTGAGTTCCATCGGACCCCTTCTTGATGTCTTGAGAAGACTCGATGAGGAAAGGGTGACTCAGTATTTGAGAGATATCAATCACAGAATATCCCAGGGCGAATATGATGTTGCACAGGATAATACCGAAGTTGTTAGTATCATATATGAGGTTTGGAGTTTCTATCTTCACATGAACACTCTCTCTTTTTGGTCCCTTCCCCTACAATCTATTGCTTAATTTTCTGACTCATTCTAAATGATGACATCTCACTTCCAATCGTTTCCTCGTTACTGCTGACTTGATATCCAATTCCAAATGCTGATACATTTTTCAGTTTAGTTTTTGATCTCATCAACTGATTGACTGGTTAATGGTATCTGCTGATGTTTTCTTGTAATCACTAAAAATTTACTTTATTGCTATTGGAGAATGCTGAAGGCTATCGTTATCTCCTCTTTCAGCTTCATTTGTTAAAGTTTACTTGTGACGAAGTTTGCTATATAAAGCTTCTTGTTGTGACATCTGAAGAATATGTACACTCTTTAATTGGGCTTATTTGGATTCTTGTTTCATTCTTTTTTTGGATTAGAAGTCTTGTCTTGTTTTATTCTGCATCTGTACTGCATGGATATGTGCCGTTGTCATCATTTTTGACTGTAATGTTTGCAAATTTATGATTGGAAAATTGAAAATTCTTTTTCTACAATATCATGTAGCTGTGTTCACGTGAGCAGTGACGGTAAGAGTTATGGTTTCATATCAGGTTTTGATGTTTCCTGTCCTTCTGGATGATCAGTCATTGTTCACTGAGTTTGGGAAGTTTATTGAAGCTGTGGATGATATTCACGAACTTGCTTTGGATGGACAGCAACAGTTTCCGGTACTTTAGAGGAATACCTAATTATTTTTTCCTATTCTCTTTATGATTCTTATATGGGGCATATTGTCTGTCAGGGTGCTTATGCTCTATTCTTTTTCAATAGAAGAGTACGTTCTGTAGGTCATCGCTTAGCTGCATCAATGGGAAAATTGAGGTATCTTTATACAAGACTTAGTTTACCCACCTGTTTAACAGTTCTGGGTGATTCACAGTTTACCATTGTCATTTGAAGCCTAGACGTATTATTTCCTTTAATCTGCAAGGTGTTTATTTTCCAATTGCTGGTCTTTGTCTATCCTTTTATATGCCTGCTTATGCGAAATAATCTCAAGACAACAACACGTCCAATGAGTGCTAGCCACTAAAAATATAGGCAAAAAGGGATTCTATATTTCATCTTTGGTGCCATTGCTAGAGTGATGGGCACATGCTTCTAAATATTAATTTGTATGTAACAACCTGAAAATAAACTATTGGTGGTCTAGTTGTGAAATTATCATTATTTTCTCATTATAAAATATTAAAAATAAATAGCATCACTAAATAGATCAATCTATTCATAATTATAGGTGCTTTTGATTTATTTTTAATCACTGATCCCTAGATATATAAAGCTCTAATTGCAACTTCCAAGTGCAAGTGGTAAACTTCTAGAGGGATAGAAAGTAATGAGATGAAATTCTGATAAGTGAGGTAGTACTCCTGATTAAACAATAAGTTTTTAACTTATTTCTTATCTCAATTTCTACTTTTTGTAGGTTTAAATTACCTTTTTTTTTTGTATCCTATAAGTTATTTTTTTTGCAAAATTCAAGTATCTGAGCATGTTATTCTTATTTTCTTAGCACTCAAGATGCAGGATTAAGTCTTATTTGGATTCGTTCTCCTGGTTGTAGGATGGCAACTGATTTGGAACCTTTGCAGCCTTTGCTTAAGAAATTTATATGTTTTCTGGAGACAGAAGTTCTGCCATCAACTTCTAAGATGCTAAGGCCAAGAGTACAGCTAGATCGTTTATCTGTATGGCTTGGGATCAAGTCATTGTAGGAAGTGGTTGCTAAACCTTTGATATAATTATGAATATATTTTCCCTTTTTCTTCTCATATACTCTATGCTTTTTGAAGGCTTGGATTCTTGGAGCCTCCTGCATTTGAAGAAGGGATATTGGAGCGTTATCCCATTTTTCTTGACATCGTACTTAATCATATAAGTAGTGATTCACTTGAATTCTCTCATGCAGTTACATGCTTAAGACTACTCTTTGAGATGCTTGGTCAGTGAGCGGCTTTCCCTCTTTTTCCATGTGTGTGTGAGTTCTCAGTAAATAGTTCATGTTCTAATATTTATTATTTTGAAAAAAATGTCTAAAGGCTGTAAGCTTTGGCTGAGGTCTACATTGTCTCCTAGTGTGATGCGTAACACTTTATTGGGCCAGTGCTTCCACACTCGACATGAGAAAAGTCATAAAGACATTTTTGATCTTTTTCAGCCGTTTTTGCAGGCAAGTATGGGGGGCCTTTTGCCAAGTTTATTTGACTTCTTTTGTTGCTATCGATATATGTTTTTATCTTTTTATTATGTAGTCTATTCACATTACTGAACTTATATGTGCAATGCATCCAGTCTCTTGAGGCTTTGCAAGATGGGGAGCATGAAAAGCAACGCAGACATTTTCTTTATTTCCTTCTTCATCAAGTGCCAGTTAGCAGAAATTTTAGCATCCTAGCCAGGCAAAAGGCTTGTCAGGTTGTTTTTTCTTCCCTTGGGTGGTCGTACTAATTTCATTATGTAACAATTAAGAATTGTTTCTCACGCACGTACATGTAATGTTTTCTGGTTGTATATGTAAATTTATTGCTATACTTAATTTTCAGATAGCTCTTCATATTGTTCACCGAGGTTATAAGATGAATCCGCCATGCCCCCCTTTTGAGTGCGCGCATATGTGGTGAGTTAGCCTGATTATGACTGATTTTAAATGGACTACATGTTTCTTCCATGGATCTGCTTTATTTGATATTTTTGTTCCCTTTTTAAAAAAAGAAACTACATGTAGACTTATGTAGTTGGGTGATAAGCCTCTGCTTAAAGCCTTAAACTTATGCATGCAAGGAGGAAGAAGATGCGTGAAGATAGCAAGTGAATGGAAATGAGTGGAAAAAAGGGGGAAGTGGTATTTTGCTGCATGTAAATGATAGGTAGGGCGTAATCGACGTGGGTACAAAAGCACTATGATAGGGACCATGAAGTTAGTTTGGAAGTGTGATATATATATAAAGATATATTTTTTTAATTAACAGAAACGAACTTTTCAGTATAAGAAGGAACATAAGGTGTTCAAGGATACAAACTTCAAACGATTGAGAAAGACAAAATAAAGTAAATGCAAATACAAATAAAGCTAAACGGAAAAATAAGAATTATAAACTACAAAGGAGAAATAAATGCTTCCCAGTTAGAATGGACCATGCTAGGTGAGTAATTTGCAAAAAGATTGAGAAAAGTACACCATTGAGAAGCTTTGAATTTGGAAATGTTAAAACATTCCATCGGATGCCTCTTGACCCCTTCAAAGGTGCTGATTACGCTTGAACCATAACTCAGAAATAAGGGCTTTGGAACCATTAACCCAAAGTAGACTCGCTTTAGGATGCAAAGCAGACTCGTGCTTGGAGATGTTAGTCCATGGACATCTTGAGTAGTTATTTTTCTTTTCTGAAGTATGCCAATTGAAGGAGTCAGTATCATATATCAATGAAACAATGGTGTTTCATGTTCAAAATGTATTCATGTAACCTTCTGGAAGGAACCCACTTTCTTGCAAATTATGAGGAGGTAACTGAAGTTTAGGGTTTGAATCCTGGTTAGTGTTTGTGGTACAAGGAGGCTGCGGTTGGAAGTATTAGGGAAAAATAATTGATAATTGATATAACATTTAATTATGTAACTATGAGGCTTTCAACTAGATATAAATATTTTGGCAACTTTATGGTTACTGCATCGAGTAGTCAAGGACAGAAATTGCATGACTACAGATTTGTAAGGTCACTATTCTAGTGTTATATAAATGTCATTTTTCACAGTACTACTAGATTGTTTGACTCATGTTATCATTACTTTATTGACCAGGGGCCCTTCTCTTGTGTCAACACTGAAGGATTCTTCTCTTCACAGCTCACTCAGGCAACCAGCATTTGAGCTTATACAATCTATTATTGTATCAGATGCTGCTGCATTGATACAATCGATGCTGGATAGTTGTATAGTACCACATTCCAATGACAGTAGCATGAATCATAACTTCAATGATGCTGAAGATGAGAGCATACCTATGTTTGCTCCCAATGAAATGGACGATAATTGTTGGGGAGGATTCAGCATACAGAGCAATATAGTTTCGACAGAATTTAAACAGTGGATGTGCATTCCTATGTTATGGATTGATGTTCTAGTTGAAATTGATCCTTTGGTTCTACCAGTATCATTTTCTAAAGCTGTTTTCTGGGCTCGATCCCGTTTTTCTATGGTAGAATCTGAAACCACTGCTGAAGGTGAACTTCCACTGAGAACTTGGATATCGTCGTCTTTGGAAATTTCCAGTTCACTGGGATGGAAGGTGCCAACTGGTTCTGATGATGGTGGGGATGGGAAAGAATCAAGAAACTCACTAAAAGTGTGCACAATGTTGCTTCCTTTAATAAAAACATATAACAGGTTTTGGCATTCCTCTACATGTAAAATTTATTTAGAGCTGTTCAGTTACCTTTTAAAATTAGTTCTATGCTGCAAAGCTTTTAGTACATTTGTGTTTCACCTAGTTGGTGACAGGTCTTATGATACGTGGTTCACTTTAGTTGACGCCTGTTTCAGGTTGACTGCTCATTTCTTACTTCTGTTGGGACAAGGAGAGCTGAAGAAGCAGTGGACTTGGGAGCCGAGAATGGGGGAAAGTCTGATCCTTTCACTTTTTGATTCTAGTGATGTAATGCATTACATTTTCTCCTTTCGTGATTTTAAGTCTTTGGTTTCTCCTTCCCCTTTTGATTTTTATTCTTATCCAAAAATGCACATATAAAGATAATTTTTTCTCATTCAGAATGTCAGGCAGTTTGGAAAGCATGTATTAGAACAAATTTCAAACACGAAGGGTCTCTCTTGTGGTTTGGAGTTTCTCTGTTCTTCTGAGTATTCATTATCTTCCATCTTTCTGGGCATGACACATGCTTTGAAATTGGTAATTGTTACTCTAATATGAGCAAAGTTATTATTATTTTTATTATTTGGTTCAAATCTAATTGTGTCACTGTCCTATTTGTCATTACCAGCTATATTTGCCTTTATATTTCATATTGGCATAAAATTTTTGATAACTGTGATTTGTGCAGCAAAAACCACTTAGTTGGCCTAGTGGTCATTGTGACTAGTGAAAAAGTGAAGGTACTTAGAGGGAATAGTTCAAACCATGGTGACCACCAATCTTGGATTTAAAAATCTTACGAGTTTCTTCGACAATCAAATGTAGTAGGTTCAAGCAGCTGTCTCATGAGATTAGTCGAGGTGTGTGCAAGTTGGCTCGGACAGTCATGGACATGAAAGAAAAAAATTGTATTGCCAAATTTGTAAATCGAATTTTGTCCAATTTATTCCCAGTTTTGATGTGCTTTGGTACCAATATGATAAGTATATTTGCCATTCAAATCAGGAAAAAGAACATAAAGAAACAACTTAAGAGATGTCCAATTTGAGAGGACTTCCTAACTCTCCCATTCTACTGGACACTCCATAGCAAAAATTGTTTGCCTCTATCACCAACAAATTCTCTAATTTATTTACCAGGAATCTTCCCTACCATACCTAAAATAGGAAACACAACCTAACCCACTAAGACATGAAGTAACAGACCAACACATGACTGAACCATAAAAATAGCAACTAAAACACGATTGAACTCTAGGAACTAACTTAATCCCTACTCTCTTTGCCCCTCTTTCTCACGCACACCTGATTGATAGGAGGTCTAACATACTCTTGCAAATTTTCAATTTAGTTACCAAGAATTGGGAAGATTTGAATTGTTCAAATATCGTACCTTGCCTACACCTTGATGATAAGGTGTTTTTCATGGGTGGAGTAATGATATAGATTAGATAAGATAGTAACCGTGGGTGCTATTAGGGGTATACTAGTAATTAGTTGGTAAGTTTGTGATGTAATCCTTACCAGCATTAATATTAGTTAGCTGTTTTATAAGTTAGTTAGTTGCTAGCTAGGATTAAAAGCCAACGGCTAATTGTCCTCTTTGTTTCTATCCGAGACTCCTCTTCTAAAAATACGAGTCCTCTCCCCCATTTGGAGTCTGAACATTATTAATGCAATCTTCATTCTCTCTTTAGTTACACCAGTTTGTTAGGGTGGAGTGATTGTAAAGAGTGAGTAAAGGCGACTCTGATTATGTAGATTTCGGAATAGGTTTTAGGAGAGTCCAGACCACCTCTTGAAGTGCTTGGAAGCTTGTAATTTTGCTTTCTTATATCAATAGCGTTTTATATTAATTTGCACACTATGTCAGTTGTAAAAGTTATTGTCTTATGAAACCATTTGATAATTTTTTTTTCCCTTTTGTTTGTTTGGTCATTGCTAGATAATTATTAATTATTGATAGTGATACTGTCAGCATATAAAAATAATTTCATGTAATCTCAATAATGCACAACATACCTTAAGGATGTGATTTAGAGATTACACCTTGTAAATTTGTCAATTTCAAAATGATTTAATTGCTCTAATAATAGATGCTGAGGCTTTGAAATATTGGACTGGTTGCAGTTTTGTACTTATAATCAGGTTCTGAAACTGTAAATATCATGCTCATCGTTTGGAGGCCTTTTTTCCTTGTCTATTTGTGATTTTTCTTATGCAATTTCATTTGCATTGTCTAGGTTCAAATGGATTCTATTCTTTTAAAGTTTCAGAATTTGCATCATTTGTTCTTCATTCTTCGTAAGCTACTCCAGGAAGGTGATTCACCTAATTCGGCTTTGCCAAAAAGTTCATCCAATCATACAGATATCCCAAAGACCTCTTCTGAAGGTGGATTTCTTAGACAGCCGGTTCTTGACGCATCAATGCTGAAATTTGGCGAAAAATCTTCCAAAATTAATTCTAAATTGCTCCAAAGGTTCAGTTATTTACTATCCAAAGCAGCATGGCCTTCTATATGGAGGCTATTGGTTGAAGGAAAGGAATTTCTCGACTACAGTTTTTGTCAAGTATGTCCAATCTTTACCTTTTATGATGTATCTGGTCACCTGTTCATTTAATTTTAAGCCTGTAATATTATGAGCTTTGCACCCCCTTCAAAGCCAAATGTTTTATTGTTTTCTATTGTTCTATTTATTTTCATTTTCATTTTGAAATGTTTGGGGGCAGAGTTTTTATTGGCTGGTATTTGAGGAGTTTTCTTTGCTTTCAAGGAGATTTAAATGGTTTTTTGAAATCAGCAGAATATTTTATGGCTTCTTGATCCATTCGGCAGTCTTTTCCGTCTGCTAAAGGACTGTATTAATTAGCTTTTGATAAAGGAGATTTTTGTTGATAAAGGAGAGTATTAAACATTAAATGGCTTTTGATAAAGGAGCTTTATTGTTGGTTTTTGTGGGGAATTGAGGAGCCTCTTTGCAGTTTTATTCCTCAATAGACTTCGGAGTGGTCAAAGGTTGTTGGATTGGTTTTTTCAAGGGACTCTTCATCTTTATTTTGTCTTTCGAAGGTCTGAGAAGTTGAAGGATCTCACAGCCTTTTTGCCCTTGCTTCACTTTTTTAAAGAAAAAAAATCTTTTGGTTGGTTTGTCTTCAAGTTTGAACTTGAAGCTTCCCTTTGGTTAATTGTGAGGCTATTCCCCTTGCATCATGGATGTTCCTCTAAAAGTTTCTAAGGAAGACATCCTTTCATCTCTCTTTTTTTTATAAGAAACAAAAGACTTGTATTCAGATCAAACGGAAGCCCCAGAAGACGGGGAAAACAACCTAGTGGCGGAGGGTAGGAGAACCCTCCCCAAAAAAAACACCACAATCACTTCTCTCCAATCTTGAGAAAGCAAAAGAAAATTGTAGTTACAAAAAATCTTCTTTTGGGATAAGCCCCACCAAGAAGCTATATGTCTAATATTCACACAAAAAGAATCAAACAAAGTCGACTTATCTTCGAAAAGACGGCTGTTTCTTGCTTTCCAAATGTGCCAAAGTAAAGCCCGTGCTGCACAGTGCCAAAGAACCGCGGCTTTACCCTTAAGACTTCCACCACCAAAACCTTCTACAATAAAATCTTCAATCTTGCTAGGGATACAAAGAGAAATATCTAGGAAAGAAGCAAATTTCCCCCCAAGCTTCGCAAAAGGGCAGTGTAAAAAAAGATGATCAACTGTTTCCATATTCTTCATACACATACTGCACCCGAGGGGGAAATCGTCCAATGTGGAAATTCGTGAAGAAAAGGCTGCTTGTTTAGAAGAGCACTCTAGAAGAAGATGGAGTTGAAAGCTGAACAGGATGGAGAGATTGCTGATTTTAGGGCCACTAATTCTTGGAATTTCAAAACCTTGTCTCCAGAAGTTAAAGTTGACTTTGCTGATGTTTCAAGATTCTTAAAGTTAAAAGTTTTTGAATTTGGTTCCTTGCACAGGAGTCTCGATCTGAAAGTAGTTATTATGGTCTTTATGTCATTATTTTCTGGTTATTCGGTTTTATCTCCCTTTTTGAGTTCTTCTTTCCCTTTTCCTTATTTTGTTTTTCTTCGCTCCCATTGGTAGTTTGTTTGAAAAAATGTTAAAAATAGTGTAGTTTTAAGAAATTGATAAAAATAAGACTCGATACAAAGATACATTGTTTATTAAAATAGACAATTTTGGATAAATTATCTCTTAAAGGCCCCTCCACTTAAAATTACCTCCACTTAAAATTATCTCTCTAAGAGATTATTTTATTGATACATCATCTTCTTAAGAAATGATTTTTCAAAGATCATCACTTTGGTGGACAATTTACTTTAAACTTGGAATCATTTTGAAACCAATCCCTTTTTAAGAATTTTATACTTTAAATCTGCAAAAAACAGTAAAAAAATCTCCCCCCAGTTTCATGGATGAGGGAGTGGATTCCGTAATTGGACAGACTCTCTGCAACCGCCTTTTAAGTATTCTTGTAAAAGGCAATTTAAATCTGAAAAAAAGAAAAGAATAAAGAAACGTTTCTCCTCTCAATTTCATGGACGAGGGAATGGATTCAGTAAATTATACTGACCTCTCTGGGATCTTTCTCATTTTGGATAGCTGTCTTATCTTAATATTTAACTTCTCAAAGACATGTTTACTAATTGCAAATTTGTCTTACCATAGTACTTTCTTTATTTACAGATGACTTGTGTCCGCTTACTTGAGATCATCCCCATTGTTTTTGAACGATTTAACCCATCATTTATTGCACTGTCTGGTACAAAAATGACAGTGAAAGACGGAAGTGGTTTCAATTGGCTTCATGATCTAATGGATTGGGGAAAGTCATCTCTAAAAGTTGTTCTCACTTACTGGAAACGTGCTGTAATTTCATTGCTGAATTCCATTAAGGGATCATGTAGTCTTTCTGCTGCATCAACAATTAGGGCTATTGAAAACCTTATTTCCTTAGGTGAGGGTTGTTTTTTTCCCATATAAAAAAAGTAAACTGTGGTGTATAAACTCCAGTTTTTCACACAGAAAATATGTTCAAACCATTCATTATGATAATTTACCCCAATATGATTACTGATTCTTCTCGATATATTTTGGATCAACCTTCCTATAGATGATGCTGTGGTGGATGAATTAACAGAGAAGATAGCACACCTCACTATTTTATTATCCAAGACAGAAAAGCACCATATTGCCGAGACCAATTTGGGGTCAAATTCTTTAGTGCTTGAAGACTTTCCCTCTGGCTGCAAGTTCTTCACCTCAAAGTCAAAGTCTTTCCTTGTGGAGGATGTAGATCGGCGGACCTTGGCCACAAGGTTTGAGGCTGAGAAGGAAGATATTAGTGAAGTAATTGTTCTTTCAGATGATGAATCAAAAGAATATATTTCACCCACCGTGGCCTTTCCATCTGAATCTGATGCAGGTCAATGCATATTGGTTGCTCCCAGTGGTGATGAAAATGATGCCCAAGCTGATTTTGGTAAAAATAAAATTTTGGTTGCCGAGGCTTCAAAATATGTAGTGGAGAAGAACAATGAAATAAATGATAAAGGTAGCTCTATGCTTGCACTCAAAGAGCAGGCCTCTCGTGATTCAAGAGCCAGACCAGCAACGTCATCTGTCTTGAAATCCAAGGATGTGAATGTTAAACCTAGAGAAATGGATTCTGCGTGCATTCTAAATGATAGAAATGATTTGAAGGTCTTATCTGATGAAGCAACTGGTTACAAAAGCAAAAATCAATCTTGTGAAACTGCTGTTTCTGCAGGAGGCTATGCTGTTTTGAAACAAGTAGTGTCTGATGCTGCAGATGATCCATTGGAACTTGAACTCAATTCTTCCAGAAACAAGAAAACAAATATTGCAAAATCAATCTTCCCTGTTCCTAAGCGCAAAGTAATCCAACTTAAAACGCCTGTTGATAACAGAGCTATCCACTTACATAGGCATATGGTTGGTGCAAAAAGATTTAAACCACCAAGGCTTGACGACTGGTATAGATCTATATTAGAGTTAGATTACTTTGCCATGGTTGGTTTGGCATCCGTAAGTGAAGATAAAATTCGAACTGTTAGACACTTAAAAGAGGTTCCTGTATGTTTCCAATCATCAGAACAGTATGTGGAGATTTTTCGGCCATTGATTTTGGAGGAGTTTAAAGCTCAGCTACATAGCTCTTTTGTAGAGATGTCTTCTTGGGATGAGATGTATTTGGGCAGCATATCTGTGCTATCAATTGAGAGAGTCGATGATTTTCATCTTGTTCGTTTTGCCTACGATGAGAACAATTCAGTGGCTTCTAAAAGCTTTTCTGAAAATGACCTCCTTTTGCTAACCAAAGAGCTTCCACAAAAATCTCCCCAGGGTGCACATATGGTCGGAAAGGTACTCTATGTAATTCGTATTCAACCTTTGGAAGGTGACCCAGGCTTACGTAATTGAATGTGTCGATAGATATATCATTCTATTTGAATGCTTTGGTTGGATCTGATCATCCAGAAATCACTGTACTTGCATGCTTTGATTGTATTGTAAATTTGCCTATTTTTATTTCCAGGTGGATAGGCGCGAGAGAGACAATAAAAGAAAAATGGTTTTGCTCATAATTAGGTTCTATTTGTTGAATGGTTCTCCTCGACTACATCAAGCTAGAAAGAACCTAATTGAACGCAGTAAATGGCACGCAAGTCGAATAATGAGCATTACACCTCAGTTACGAGAATTTCAGGCACTTTCATCTATAAAGGATATTCCCATACTTCCAACGATATTGAAGCCTGAAGCTAATACTATTCCTCAGCATGAATCTAAAGTAGGTGATCTAAGTAAACTGTCCCAACCATTGCAACAGACATTGAAATCATCCTTTAATGTCAGTCAACTCCAGGCGATAGATATTTCCACTGGATCAGGAAATATGACAAAAGACCTTGAATTATCACTCATTCAGGGTCCTCCAGGTATATAATATTCAGAATCTGACATCGAGCAGATATAGTGTTCTCTAATTGTGCTTTGTTTTTGGTTAACGTGTAGGTACTGGGAAGACAAGAACAATATTGGCCATTGTTAGTGCCTTGCTTGCTTCCACGTCACAAAGAACTAATAAGGCTAAATCTTCTGTTACTGGAAGCCTGAAACAAGATAATGTATTGCATTCTGATTCAAGGCCACATATTAGCCAGACTGTTGCAGTTGCAAGGGCGTGGCAGAATGCAGCATTGGCTAGACAATTGAATGAGGACAAGCAACGGAGTTCAAAATCAATTGATTGTGCCATGAAAAGAAGGGTCCTTATTTGTGCTCAATCAAATGCAGCAGTTGATGAATTGGTATCCAGAATTTCCAATCTAGGTCTTTATGACAGTGATGGCAAGATGTACAAGCCATACCTTGTTCGAGTTGGAAATGTTAAAACGGTTCATCCAAATTCACTGCCATTCTTTATTGATACTCTTGTTGATCAGCAGTTGGCTGAAGAGAGAATGAGTTCTAATGACGTGAAGAATGACTTTGGGACAAACTCATCAACAGAACTTCGTTGTAATCTAGAAAAGTTGGTAGATCGTATCAAGTATTATGAAGTCAAATGTGCTAACTTGAGGGATGAAAATCCAGACCTCAAAAGTTCTGTGGAAACCCACAAGGGGGATGATGAAAGGGAAATGTCTTTAAAGGAAATGGAGTTAAAGCTCCGAAAACTATATGAACAAAAGAAGCAAATATATAAAGATATTAGTATAGCTCAGGCATTTGAGAAGAAAACTAACGAGGAAGTCAAAGCACTGAAGCACAAACTGCGAAAGTCAATACTAAGGGAAGCTGAAATAGTGGTAAGCACTTTAAGTGGATGTGGAGGAGACCTCTATGGAGTGTGTGCTGAATCAATGTTAAGTTGCAAGTTCGGAAGTCCATCAGAAAATACTTTATTTGATGCTGTTGTGATTGATGAAGCTGCTCAAGTAAGTTTGTTTCTATGTCTAGAATTTAGTTTTAATTGGACTAGTTAAACCTTTTTTTCCTTGTCTTATTTAATCATTCCTTCCTGATTTAGGCTCTGGAACCTGCTACTTTAATTCCTCTTCAGCTTTTAAAATCAAATGCGACCAGATGCATAATGGTGAGGAACATTTAATTTATCAACTTTGGAACTTTTCATTTCATTGTAAAGCATTGATATTGAGTCTTCAATATATCATCCAAGGTTGGGGATCCAAAGCAGCTGCCTGCAACTGTTCTTTCTAACGTTGCAAGTAAGTTTCTATATGAATGCAGTATGTTTGAACGATTACAAAGGGCTGGCCATCCAGTTGTCATGCTGACAAGACAGGTACTTAAATTGCATAGTTTTCATCCAGCTTTTAATAACACCTCCATTTCATGATTGTTGTTTTTTTTTAACAAGAAAAGAAACCTTTCAAAGTAATGAAAAGAAACGAAAGTATAGAGAAGTATAGAGAAGTATAGAGAGACAAACTTACAAAATAAGAGAAAAAGAAAAACTAAGTAGAGAATATTAAAGCATCCCAATTTAAATAAACGTCAATACCATAAACAATTTAGAAAGAGAATACCACTGCGATGCTCGTTGAGAAACTATATCAAATCGACCTAAAGAACTCCAATGTTTGTTTTGAAAGACTTGAAGATACTGTTCCATCCAAATTTCTGAAATAATAGCTCCTACTCCATTAGACCATAAAAGATTTGCTCTAGGATGCAAAGAATGACCTGTCAAGAGAGGAAGAATGTTACTTCTGTAGTCACCAGTGCATACCTGTTGTAATCTAAATAACTTAAATAACCGAAACCAGTAGGCTAGAGAGAAGGAACACCCGAAAAATACATGATTTTGATATTTTGAGTCTGCAAACATAGAAGCAAATTGAAGGAAAAATTTGATAATGTGGAATCTTTCTTTGAAGAGTATATGCTGTGTTGAGGTTGCTTTTTAAAAGAATCCGATCCAGAATATCGATTCTTTTTGGACTTTTAGGGTGCATTTGGTTGGTGATTTGAAAATAATGAAAAACATAGTTGTATTTCATATTTTCAGTGTTTTCGAAAGTATGTGTTTGGTAGTAGATTTTTGAAATTGAATCTCAATTTAAGAATTTGTTTAAGGCGTGTTTAGTTTTTTTTTTTTTTTTTTTTTTTTGTTGGATAAGAAACAAATATTTCATTGATTATATGAAATATACAAAAGACCACAAGGGCAAGTTACAAGAATGTCTTCCAATTTGAGGTTAGGCTGTTTAGATTGTAACTATGAAAGGGGGAGTAGAAGCATTTACACCAACCTAATTCTAATACAATAACTCTATCAAAAAACAATTTCAAAAGTTAGAGGTGAGTCATTGTAGATCCTATTGTTCCTCTCCAGCCACGATCTTCAGAAAAAATAAAAAGCTGTTAAGTTGAACCCTAGAGGATTGCTCTCTCCTTTTTGGAAGGGTTGCCAACCAAGATGTTGCTTATGAAAAAAGAAGGGCTGTTGTGTAGTGCTGTGTTCCACCCAAAAGTCTAGAGAACCCTTTCCCAGTACCTGGAGGCAAAATCACATGAGATGAAAAGGTGGCCTTGAGATTCTGGTGCCCTGTAGCAGAGGTGGCAGCAGCTGGGGGAGAGGGCAAGGTGATCCTCTCTCCTTTTCTTTTCCTTTCTACTATGGATATTCTTAGTAGACTGGTTTCTTCTTTCTATGAGAGTAGAGAAGGAAATTCTTGACGAGTTCTAGGTGGGGAGGGACAGTCCACTTTTTGCACCTGCAGTTTATTGGCCATAGATTTTTTTTTTTGGTTGTGGTAAATAAGATTCTTTTATTAATCTAAATCGTATTCTACCATTTTATGAAATCATCTCTAGTCTTAAGATTTAAGAAAGGAAAGAGTTTGGTCATTAACATAAATTGTGGTTCTTCTATTGGGCTGCTCTAGTGAGTTGTGATGTGGGTAAATTTCTTCTCTTGCCTTGGGCTTCCCTTTGGTCATAATCCATAGTGCTTGTCTTTTTGGAACCATATCATGGAGAAGGACAAAAAACAACTTTCATCTAGGAGGGGTGTTCTTCTCTAACGGAGGTTGTAGGTTCACTCTTATCCACTCTGTTTTGAGTGAGATTTCAACTTCCTCTATTTGTTTAGGAAGAATGCATCTAAATGATTGGAAAGTTGGGATGCATTTACTGACCTTGTCCATACCTTTCTCAGTATAGGATGCACCCAGAGATCTGTCAATTTCCATCTCAGCATTTTTATGATGGAAAATTACTTAATGGAGATGGGATGTCTGGAAAAACTGTACCATTTCATGAGACGAAAGGTTTGGGACCATATATTTTCTTTGACATCGTTGATGGCAAGGAGCTTCGAGGTAAGAGTGGTGGTGCATTTTCACTCTACAATGTGCATGAGGCCGATGCTGCAGTTGAGCTAGTGAAGTTTTTCAAAAAGAGGTAACGACTCTTTACCTTATTTCAAATTTGTTTATATATTCTTGGAGAGAGCCTGTTGCTTACTGTTTAAAACTTTTGATTTATGATACATCATTTAGGCATCCAACTGAATTCTCTAGAGTAAGAATCGGCATCATAACTCCTTATAAGTGTCAACTTTCACTCCTGCGATCCCGTTTCTCACACTCATTTGGAGCTTCCTTGATGATTGACATGGAATTTAATACTGTGGATGGTTTCCAAGGTCGTGAGGTTGATATACTGATACTGTCTACTGTCAGAGCAGCAGATTCAAGTTCTACTTCTGGGATGAACTCTAGTGGTATAGGGTTTGTTGCTGATGCTAGACGTATGAATGTTGCTTTGACAAGAGCAAAGCTCTCTCTTTGGGTTTTAGGAAATTCGAGGACTTTGCAAGTGAACCCTGACTGGGCAGCTCTTATGAGGGATGCTAAAGAGAGAAATTTGGTTGCATCCGTAAAAGTTCCATATGATTCGATGTTCAAAACTGGTACTCTTAGAAGTTCTTATCCACAGATTATGGCTAATAATTCAAGAAATCTGAAGCATGCTGAAAATGTTCGTAGTGCAAGACACCATGCAAGACCCAGTGGGAAAGAAACCTTTGAAAGTGAAGGAAAAGATGTTGTCGCTGCTGCTCAGTGTACTAGAACTAGTGACGGTAATCTTATGGAAGCTAGAAAAGATATTCATGGCTATAAAAGTTGTGCTACAAGTCAGCATAACGCCTCTGTTAAAAAGGATTCTATTCCTCCAGTTGCTGGCAGTATCAACCGATCCTCTAAAGCTGCAAAGGCTGCTGTTCTCGTGGAGCATGGTGAAGATTTCGGAAGTAAAAGTGGAAGGATTGCTGAAAAGAAATCCAACATGGTAAACATCAGCCGGGGTAAGAGGAAAGTGGACTGTGTAAAGTCAAGTAATTTAGAACATGCGGAACGAGGTATGGTTGATAATCATGCACTGCAGATATCACATACCTCAAAAAGATTGAAAGAATCACCTGAGTGTGATACTATTCGTATTAATCAGGAAGCTTTAGCTCCCCCAATTGAAGCAAGCTCTAAGGAGGAACATAGTAATAGTATTGCATTAAGTCAATCTGACACTGCAAAAGAATCGATAGTGAAAAGGAAACAACAACGTGAAGCCGTTGACGCTATCCTTTTCTCATCACTAATTCCTTCAAAGAAGTCTGAAATGTCAACGAAACACACCTCAGACAAAAGGCCTCATTCATTTTCAAATGTTCATGGTGGCATGAAACCTCCAAAGGGAAGAAAAGGTTGATGTCTATACACTTCGGGTTTAATTCATCTCTAATTCAATTTTGGAGCATTGTTGGTTAGATATGTCATTCGTGCACCTCCTTCTGTATACTTGTAGATTTTTTTCAATATTTTGTCATTAATCTTGTACACCCCCCACCCCCGACAAACACATTCACAAAGCCCTGGGCCGGTGTGTGGGAGTTCCATGGCAAGGAAATTTGAGCGGGCAAGTTACTGTACATATCTTAGCAGATCACTAGGTTTCTTTTTAAAATTGAGGTTCACTTAGAAATTGATGTTTCTCTTTGAATTTTTGTGCTACCATGGTCTGATTATAATATAAACTTTAGGATGCTGGGGGGTGGAGGGTGGAGGTTGTACAGAAGGTGTGAATTAAATTATCTCTCATTTATAGTCATTAATGAAGCTTTGTTTGTCAATATGCTCATCCTCTGAAAGTGGATTGTTGGAGGATGGATGCATCGAAGCAGCATTAATAGCCAGAATCTGTAAGGTCATTGGCATTGTGGTATAGCAGGAATTGAGGAGTCTCATAATCTGTTTTTGTACTGTCCTGAACTGATTCAGATTATGATGGATATAGTTGACATTGCAACTTTCTGCTTACATTATGGAGGAGATTCATGGTTGTCAGAACATTGTGCATCCTTCTGATGCAAATTACTATTAGACAAGTTGTAACATGTGCCTCGAAAATTTAGCTGGCGTCCTCACCAGTGGCTACAAATTCTTAATTTTTGCTTGTAGATATTAAGAAAATATCATGGTTTCTAGATATTTCCAATGTAAAGCTTGGCTTGTATGAATTCCACTTGCAAGTTGCAAGAAGAATGGCATGGCTGCATGTGGCAACAACTATTATTTGGTGGTTCATAGAATTAACTAAGTGAAGTAATTTTTAAATTTAGTCACGTGCCTGTAATCACATATCTCTTTTTATAATCATATGATGTCTGGCGTGCCAGATCTCCACAATCACCTTTCATCTGCGTTTTTAGTTTAAAATAAAATGCAACAATTATATTTATGGAAAAATGTACTTGTAGTACTTTCAGGATTGTATGATCATCGCTCATCTAAGCAATATGAACTTTCAATTTTATTGTCAAATTGAAATTATTGTACATCAAATAATAATAAAAGTGTTGGTTTCATATAAAAAGGGACAGTTTCAGGTAGACAGTTTTTTTATAAGACGTAGTTCAAAAATGGAATACTATCACGTGAATTCAATAATACACGCGTTATTCTCGAAATTTATCTATTGTTGGTATTAATAAACAGAACAAATAAAGAATGTATAATATTTAAGTGACCAATCATTTTATCATATTCAAACTACCTTTGTTTTAGCCCAGTGAGTCTAATATAATAGATATATACTTGCATATTCCATGTTCTCCAACTTACGGTTAAGTAAAAAATTAGTTGCACATTTTGTGAGAGTTGATGTGTAGTATAGTTTTCTAAAATATTTACAAACATTTATTTTTACAAAAAGTAATTGCAAATATAATAATATATTTTCTAAAAATCATTTTAGGTACATTATGCTATATTTGTAATTATCTTAATAACTTCGTAAAGAATGACGGGAGTATTCATTTTCATATTTGCTAACAAAGAAATGTTGAATTCATTTTTTAAACATAGGCGTATATTTTACCCTTTTTTTAACAAGATATGAACTTCTCGTTGATTAATGAAAAAGAATAAAATATTCAAAGGATACAAACTCCCCGAGGAAACAAGTGATACAACCCAAAAGAGCAAAACAGAACTATATAAAAGACTAAAACAACTATTTTCAAATAGAGCCACCAGACAAGAAGAAATCATAAATAAAGGCTTTAGGAATCTTGATGATCAAGAACATCGTCAAGGTCATCTTCTTGTTTTAGCATAACGTACGTACGATTTTGTTTTAAGCTTCAATCAAATAATTGCAATCCATTATATGCGTGTCTTTTTTGGTGATCCACGTTCCATTTCCTTATTAGTAGCATCTGCCATCTGCCATGCAATTTCGCTCTTGGTTTCATTTAATATATTAAACATGTAACGAGTTATGAGATCTGAGTTCATGATTTGATTTGGTTTGATCAAACCTTCGTACCATATATTATATTAGCAATTGTATTGTAAAGGATCATAACATTATTATAATTTGTCACATGGGGATGGGAAAGGAAAGTAGCTGCAAGATCTAACAACCAATCTGCAGCTGCAGCATAGCACAAGGGAACGTGAAGATTGTCAACCAGCCACATAATTACATTCATCAAACAAACCAAATCATTGGGAGTTGGGATTCAATCCAACTAAACTCATTATGGGTTGCTCTAATAATTGAATTACTTGAGAATATATATGTGGTATGCCATTGCCTATTGCGAAACGAATCGACTCCCATGGATCCAAAGAAGTCAAACAAAATCAGAGACATTGTAAGGCTCCAACAAATCCTCAAGAAGTGGAAAAGGCTAGCAAATGCAAATGCTCCAAAGAGCAGCAGAGCCACTAACAGCAACAAAGGCATCATCAAGTTCTTAAAGACTAATTCTAGTGATGGTGTTCCAAAAGGGTATTTGGCAGTGTGTGTGGGAAAAGAGCTGAAGAGATTTGTAATCCCCACCCATTTCCTCACCCACCCAGCATTTCGAACATTGCTTAGGGAAGCAGAAGAAGAATTTGGTTTTCACCAACAGGGTGTGCTTCAGATTCCATGTGAGCTCCCTGTGTTTGAGAATATCTTGGATGGCCTACAATGTGACCACCAAGATTTCTTTTTTCATAATCATGCTGATTGCGACCTCACTCCTCAAATGTGTACATGATTCTCAGTTTTTTTCCTATTTCTTATAACTAAGCTCATCTTTATTTGACTATGGATATTTTTAGCTTTCAAAATCTATGATATCCATGTTCATTTACAACCATCGTGGCCCTCCAATTAATTTCCTAGTCTAGCTACATGGATATGGATATGACATTTTAGTAATACGGCACCGACCCTCTTAACGACGTGTTCTATCTAAAAGATATGAAAATTTTATCGCAAGAAAGCGTCATTGCTTACTATAGTGTACCTCTTGCGTATTTCAATCACTTATTGGAGTATTATAGATGATTTACAATACCACACTCCTATGTTGTTGGGATAACGGTACCCTAAGTATTCAAAGTATCTCGAGCTTTGGTTTAACTCAAAAGGTCTCATACCAATGGAGATAGTTGTCCACATCTATATAACATGAATCATTTCCTTTCTTAGCCAATGCATGAGACTTTGTTTGTCCTCTTTACAAACTCAACAGTCCTGACACCAACTTTTCAATGAATAATGTTAATAGATGTCAAATTATTCATACTTCAACTAGCGCTCATTGATAGGGTATCAAAAAATTCTGCACTATTGGACTACAATATCCTTTGGTATCTCTTTCACTAGATCTCAAAATTAGACTCTCACAGGTTTTATAGGACTTCTTTTATAGTATGCAAAGTGTGATCACTGATATTATTTCATTACTCGAGGAAATTGGTATTTCTATTTTATCTATATCATTACTATTGTGTGATAATATAAATGCTACATATTCTAGCAATAAATCTTGTTACGCACAAAAGAGTTTGACCAGATAGAGAAGGTTTCTAACAAAATGTTGCTTCTAAATTAGTTCACATCATCAAAAGACCAATTATAGTTAAGATAATGATCAAACTAAGTATCAAAATCTTAGCAATTGGCGTGGGGAGGGGAGATATTGGGGACAGAGGAAGTCGTAGATCTTTCTTTACCTCAATTTGTCATTGTCTTTTCTCGATGACCAATTATATCACATTAAATTAGAAATCTTAAGCTCGAACTTCGCTTTAATAGGCGAGCAGTCCAACCATTGGAACCTACTACAATCTCATGTGCCAACATTCCCGTTGATCTAAGCATTGCACAAGATCAACTTATCACTTATTTCTTGACCATTTTTACACAAAATTAGATTAACACATTATATCTGACCACGACCCTCGATAGTTGATATCTCACTATCATTTTAAATGTGACAGACAGATGAGATGGGATGCGTATATTGGATGGCTGTGTTTATCATATATGATTTTCTTAATATTATATCATTAGTAAGATAACAAGAGTGGGCAGTTAATCTACCAATGATTTGATGGATATTGGATAATTATGTAATGGAAGGAAGTGTTTGAATGTTCGTGTATGTATTTAGTTCTAAAAGTATACAATATTATAAATAGAAATCTCATTTAGAAACTTAGTGATGTGAAAATGTTTAAAAGAAAATAGGACATTACTCTTAACCAAAAAAACTAGTACAATTTTTATTTGAATCATAAAACAAAAATGGGAAGGATTTGTTGAGGGTGTGCCTGTGGGTAGAATGCAAAACAGAAGGGGGTGTTGCTGCTGCAGGATCAATCTTTACAGAAAGATGGGGGCCATGACCAGCGTTATGGTAGCGAGCATTTTTATGAGAACGTGAAGCGAAGGCCCCGCTGTGTCCTTGAATGGGTCTCCTACGCTGCAAAACAAAAATTTACCATCTTCATTTCCTAACATATAACTCAATAAATCAAAGCAAGACGTTGATCAGCAAACGTAAACTTACGTGTCCCCAGTTACAGCTGCTTTATGACAATCACTACCTTTTCCTCCGAGAACCCCGGTCTCTATATACTTCTTCGCATTATCCCAGGCACCCCCTGCTGTGTTCAGAAAAAGGGCCATGAGAATACCGGAAACTGTTGCAAACATCAGCATTGCAGCAACAACCTTGGCCCCTAGAAGCGGATGCCCAGTATAGTGTCCCAATATTCTAAACAGGAAGCCTGCAATTGATAACAGAAAAAGTTCCTGAACCAAACTCCAAGAAAGCCAAACTAGCAAAGATAAGGTGAAGGAACATTAATAGAACGGTACCCCTTCAATTCCAAGTTATCTTCAAAACAAAATGTAAATAAGAAAACAAAGTTCAAGACATGCTCATCTCAAATAAAGCAATCTATCTTCATAACGAAGCTTCACAAAAGGGTCTCCAATATTCATTCTAATCAAAGAATTCAGTCCCTTCACGTGGGCAACAAAATCCCCTTTAAAACAGCAGCAAACATTATTATGGATCACATTGCACCATCCCAACTTTGGGTTTAGAGTCGTGTAATAGCAAAGCCAAAATAGTATTTTCAAGAGCATGAGAAACCACAGCTTCAATTATGTGTTGTACAAGCCAGCCAGCTATTATTTGAAGATTGTTGCTCTTTTCAATGGATTCAAATAAATACAAAATATAACAAGTTAAAATGCAGTTCTCCTTCCCAATCAAGTAAATTTTTTTTAAAAGTAAATACTACATGTACCCTAACATTATGCAAATTCAACTGCTTCCACCATTTTCCTAGAGCAAAAGGCAACCAGAAGTGAACAGAATTAAGGAGACACAAATCAAAGGCTTTCGCAAAAGTACAAGCAATTAACCCACCAACTGCCATAGGAGAAATGATAGCCAAAGCACCAGGTTTTATCATCTCCCTTAAAGATGCTGATGCTACAATAGCAACACAGCGTCCATATTCTGGTTTCTCCGTATAGTCCTGAAGAAAAGATATTTGGTTAAAATACTAAACTGATTTTGCAAAAAGGAAAAGAAAAAAATGCTAAACTGATTTTGCAAAAAGGAAAAAAAAAAGCTAAACTGACCATTATACCAGGCCTTTCAATGAACTGTCTTCTTACTTCCTTTACAACCTCTTGGGCTGTTCGGCCAACAGCAGCGCAAGCCCACGCACTAAAAAGAAAAATAAGCATGGAACCCAACAAACCACCAACAAAAACTTCTGGAATTGCAATATCTACCTAAAACCATTTAAAGAGAGCATGTTAAAATTAAGGACTTGGTAGAAAAGAACCAAGTCTACTCGCATGGGTGACTTACCTGTTTAAAAGGTTCCTGAGCAAATGCAGCTACCTCATCCATATAAGCACTAAAAAGTAGGAAGGATGCAAGTGCTGCAGAGCCAATGGCAAAACCTTTTGTGGTCGCTTTAGTTGTGTTACCTACTGCATCAAGAAGATCGGTGATCTCCCGAACACTTTCCGGCTGTAATGGACATGTATTAAAACAATACCAACAAAAATTGATATTTAAACAATTTAACTTGCAGTTCTACAAAACTGAGTCTTTGAGCGCTACAATACCTGCTGACTCATCTCAACAATTCCACCTGCATTATCAGCTATTGGCCCAAACATATCCATTGTGAGAACGTAGGCAGCAGTGCTGAGCATTCCCATTGTTGCTACAGCAGTACCAAATAGCCCACCAGTTGGATTTCCAGCTTCGTCCACAAGTCCTGATGTGTGACCCAACCAGAATGCCGAAACAATCGACACACTAATAACAAGAACAGGAAGTGCTGTTGATTCCAGGCCCAAGCTGATTCCAGCAATTATATTTGTCCCATGGCCTGTGGAGCTAGAAAGTGCTAATGTACGCACAGGCTCATGCTTGTAGTCAGTGTAGTATTTGGTGATCCAGACAAAAATATAAGCAGTTATAATACCGACCAATCCACACAAGGCAAAGTTGAACCATGCAGAAGGAGCTTGTTCAGTATGAAGCAACCACCGGGTAGACTAGAAATAGTTCAAAATTAACTGTCAGAGGTAGAACATGTAAATTAACCAGAGAAAAGTACTACGTGATCAAATACAATTCTAACTAGGCATGGATTTTAAATAATTTTTGCAAAACTCGAATGCAATAACATGACTTCAGAGTGATAATAAATATTATAACATGATATGTAAGTTACCACACTAAACGTTAGAACAGCCAAAACAATAGTCACAGAATATCCTCTCTGCAGTATAGTCATTGGATCCTCTATGGGACCCTTCACACCAGATTCACGAGTACCCCTCCTAATAGAGAGAATGCCAATTGATGAAATCACCAGATCAAAGGAGTGCACTACCAGCGGAAACAAAATGAAACCAGATGGATCTGCATGAACGTCAAGAGTGCATTAAGAAAACAGACAAACAGGGTCTTCAATCATTTGAACGCGGTTGATCATCAAAAGCTCTGCCCAAAAAAATTCCTCAAAAACAGTTGTTAAAAATATTAAAAGACCTTCAATTTTACAGCGTTGTGCCATTGTTCCCCCAAGTATCATAGCACTAATGATTTCAGCAGCGATACTTTCAAAAAGATCTGCACCTCTAGCAGCACAATCACCCACATTGTCTCCAACCTAGTAATTAACAAAACTTAATTCAGGCGACAAACCAAAAAGTGATATTAGCTTGAGCAAGAAAAGCATGTAAAGATAGAAAACTCCTAATAATATAAAGGAATGGCAATGACACTTAATGCAGGCTTCCTTTGATGTAAACCAAATGAGAAAGTTCTTATTAATGAATTAACAGCCTCCAAAGTGTACAAAAGGACCCTATTTATAGACAGCAGGCCACAGCTTTAAGAAATAACCAATAAACTAGCCATTGGCCTACAGAACTAACTAACAAAGGATTAAATAAAATAGCTATCTAACCAACTAACTTAAATATAGTTACAGCATCCTTATAGGTAAAAATAAAGTTCATGTCTCCCAGTTGCAATTCGCGTATGGAATAACTTTTTATCACTCTGCTCTCAAAGGTAAGGAAAATGCTCTCTTCTCCCTCTTCACCAAGGTTTGATTCTCTATTGGAATGGATTCATCAAGATAGATTTTAGATCTGAGTTTTACTATTTCCTGGTTTAGATTTGCATCTTCAAGATTGTTCTAAATTCTGTCTATTCAGGTTTATTATTCTATTCATTCAAAAGTATTATGGAAATCAATAGTAGCTTTATTGAAAGGGAAAAAAAGGCATTTTTGCATTTGTTTTTGTCAAGATACGAACTTCTCAATGATGAAATTAAAAGATACAACAAATGTTCAAAGGGAACAAAAATCGGAAAAAAAAAAAGAAAAAAATAAAGCTTTGGAAAGATTGAGAATCTTTCAAATCCAAGGCCTTGTAAAATAATAATTAAAAAAGACAAAATCTTGAACAACATATGCATCGAAGAAATTGTAAACACTCTCGTCAAAAGATTTGGAGTTCCAACTTTTCAGAAAAGTCCTCCAACTCGCAAGAAACAGTCTTCAAGAGACTTTAAGGATCTTTAACTTAACCTCAACCTCGTCTTAAGGAATTAAGGCTCTGTATTTTTTTTTTTGAAAATTTGGCATGCTTCAGCAAACTCTTTTTCACATTCAGGTTCAGCTTGTAACTCCAAATTTTTTCTAGAATGAACTTCTCAACTTTCTTCTAGAGTGAGCTTCTATACAAATAGCCATTTCTTTGTAAATCCACTCCAGCTCCAAATTTAGATAAGGTATCCAGCCATTGAGATCTATAGTAATTTCTCCTTTAAATATTAATGCAAGGGAGATAAAGTGACTTCAATCCTTAGGTCTAGAGGGAAAGGACTTTAACACATGAATAAAACGAGTTTCATCGTATTCTGAGATGACCTCGTGGGAAGAAAAAGCATCCTCGAAAAAAGCTTCCTAATGGTGTGCTCTTTCCTATATTTTTTCCAATTATTCTTTACAAGATATTTGTATGAATTGTGTGTTTTTTATTCGTTCATTTTCTTGTTAATTTTTACTTTATGCCTTAATTTGGTCTTTATCCCTTTTTTTGAGCTTGTATCTTTGAACTCTTGTTTCTTTTCATTTTTTCAATGAAAAGTTTTATTTCTTATTTAAAAAAATAGAAATGAATGGTATTCAAAAGTTTATGCTACATGTATGAATTAATAAATAAAATTACAACTAAAGAAATTAATAGAGATAAACAGAGTAGATAGTGCTATGGAAGTAATTTCTGGTCTTTTTTTGTCTTCAATCCAAGAGCAAACTTATTATGAATAAATATGGTTAAAGCAATTATCTCAAAGCTTTGAAATCAAAGTCTTTGAAGATACTGAGGCATTGGTTGGATCATTTTGAAGCAGCTAGATTAAAAGCTTACTAGTGGTGTGCTCTTTCCCAGCTTTTTTCCAATTATTCCAAGATATTTGTATGAATTGAGAAATTTTTATTCCTTCCTTTTCTTGTTTGTGTTTATCACCTTTTTGAGCTTATATCTTTGAACTCTTGTTTCTTTTCATTTTTTCAGTGTTTAGTTTTATTTATTATTTTAAAAAAATAGAAATGAACGGTATTCAAAACTTTATGCTACTTGCATGAATTAATAAATAAAATAACAACTAAAGAAATTAATGAACAGAGATAAACATGAGTAGATACTGCTATTGAAGTGAGCAATGCTCCAAACCTCTTCCTCGAGACCTCAAAATTAGAATCCATCGAGAATGTAGAAAAACTTACATTTCTCAATAATTTGTATCTTTGAACTACTTTGTATCTTTCATGATTTCAATGAAAAGTTCATATCTTGTTAAAAAAAACGTAGAAAATCTTACAAAAATTAGGAAAGCTTACGAAAAAAGAAATAATGCATCAATAAGCAGCTCAAAATTAGAAAAGCTTACAAAAAAAAAAGAGCAGATTGATCAGTAATACAAGATTGCAGGTGCCTGATAAACATGCTTTTTAATCAAGAAGACAACAAATGAGATGCAGTTGCCATTAATAAACTAAAAATAGCAATACTAGGATACAATACATGATTGGATTCTACATAAACAGTCGCTTAAATCAGGAAAGCAACAAAAGAGAGGAAAAATCACCAAATCTGCAATAACTGCAGGATTTCTTGGATCATCTTCTGGTATTCCCTGCTCAACTTTTCCAACAAGGTCTGCTCCAACATCAGCAGCTTTTGTATAGATACCACCACCCAACTGAGCAAATAGAGCAACGAAAGAAGCTCCAAAACCATAACCCACGAGGAGAAGAGGCACTGCAAGGTAATTGAGAAACTAATAAAATAGTCATTCAAAGAAGGCAACATGGTTTGAAGGAAAAAGAAACTGAAACATTATAAGACAAACTACCCAACCCTAGGAGTTTACAGAAAACTATCCCAACTTCTATTATTTACAAAAGATGTATAATTACAAAATGATTTAGAGTGAACACCAAAAAATATATTGAAATTTGGTCAGATCAAAAACCTCTTACTAATGCCAATTCTTATCATTTAATATCCATCATTTTTTTCTAGCCATATAGTCCATAAAGAATTTTTGGCTGCATTCAATCAAACAGTGGATATGGTTCTAGAACCATCTCCACAAAGCATTTTGAACTTCGTTGTTCTTTGCCAAGCTGTTTAATTTCCAAGAAACATTGAATTCCTTCTTTAAAGAGCCCGAAAACTTTGTACTATAATTGCAAAGAAAAATAGGTGACCCAAAGTCTAAACATATTTTTTAAATAACGTGCACCAACTTGGCATAAAGGTTATTGAGCTTATCTTCTGCATCAAAACACCGTATTAATACTCTCTAGGTGAGTAGACCAAATGAGTTTGTTGACAAGGATGCCAATTGAATATGTGATGGATTGAGTTTTATGAAACATGATCCAAAGGATGCAACATAACTATTGAAAAGGTAAGATGCTCTCTTCTCTCTCCTCCTTTAGGTCCTCTTTCTCTTTAGTCTCAGTTTGTCAAGCTGGATCTTAGAGAATCAAGTTATCAAGAGTTCAACAGATTGATCTTATTTTCTCAAATTTCGACTTTAGTTCTACTGATTTGGATTTGCATTATTATTATATCCTGTGCAGCTGTGTTGAGAATAACCATTATTGCATATGGAAGGAAGAGGATTGTTATTATGTTGAAGACGTGAGCTGCAATGTTCTGTTTCCTTTGAATCTATCTCATTTAGTTTGGTTTGAGCACCGTCTAGGAGAACTGATGCATTCGCCATTACAAGATCTCTTCTATAAGCAAGAGAGAGATGTGTTTGGAACATGTAGAATCCGAAAGGAAATTTAAATTAAATTCAAAGCCTCATATAGAATGCGCTTTTGGCCAGTTTCAGAAGGAAAAAAAGGTTAGTAATTTCTGCAAGGTTTGGAACATGATTAAGGTCTTCTATTCAAGATTGGATGAAAGACCAAAAAGTTCGAATTTATGGTCTCAGTCTTCTTACTGACTTCGAAGGTATTTCTTCATTTTGAACCATATTCCTTTTTCCATTTAGGAATATGGTAGAGAAGAAGAGCATGTCTCAGAAAGAATTTGTCAAGGAAGTGGACAAAAAGAAGTTCATGCCTCAAAGTATACAGAAGGATTTCATCTGGAAAGATTATTCCCATAAAAAGAATAGCCAATTTTAAGGAGGTGGAGGTATTGGATTTAGATTGTGATAATCTAATGGTTTTTATTATAAGAAACATAAACAATATATTCAAAAAGCCTTGGCAACTAGGGGTGTTCAAAAAACCCGGTGACCCGAGCAACCCAACCCAAACCGTAATGGTTGAGTTGGGTTATAAAATTTTTTTGTTTGCGTAGGGTTGGATTTTTTTAGAACCAAAAATTCAGTTCAGTTCGCGGGTTGGAATTTTTTTTTTTCGGTCGAACCTAACACACCATTATTTAAAGAAAAAAAAATATAAATAATTAGGTTTTCTTCTCTTTGTTAGCCGTGGCCTCCCTCCCACTCATCTTCTTCCTCTCTATCTCCCCCTCATGCTCGTCCCCCTCCTTCCCTCGTCTCCCACTCATCTTCTTCCCCTCTCTCTCGTCTCCTCACTCACGTTGGTCCCTCTCTCTCCCTCGTCTCCCACCGGCGGCAGACGACACCATGGATTGCTCTGGTAGAAGTGCTCCTTCATCTTCCATTCCAGCACAAAACAGAACAGTATAGCGACCTCAACCATGATTTAATTTTTTGAAACTCAAATTTCTTTAGTATTTGAAGTTTCTCTGTCTTGAATTTCCATTTGCGTTTTTTGTGTTTCTCATAAATGGCCAGTTTTTTGCCCTTGTTTTTTTTTGTTTTTTGCCTTCAGACTTGCATAGCTAAAAGATGCATATCCAGAAATCTAGTTTCAAAAGGGAAGGAGATGGTAGTCGAATCTGAGTAGAAAATCAACAAAAATTTCAGAATCTGCATCTCACCTTCCTACCCGACCTAATCCAACCCGTAAACACTACTATTGGCAACCAAAGGAAGACAACGTAAAGGCAAAGGGTAGGGAAGACTCCCCCTAAAAACTATACAATCACAGTTTTTCAATCATTTTTTCACATATGTAAACTATAATTACAAAAAAGCTTCTTCTGGATTGTAACCCACCAAGAAGCAAGATGCTGAACGTTCAAACAAAAAGAATTCACCCTCTTCAAAATGTATACTATTCCTTTTTTTCCAAAGAAGCCAAAGTAACGCACTCGTCGCACAGTTCCAAAGGACAAAAGCTTTACGTTTTGAGAGTGGCTCCCCAAAAATAAAATCATCTATTTTCATATGAAGGCACTAAGAAGCACGGACACGGTTATGAGACATGGACTTGGCTCATTTGAGAATCCTTGATGAAAATTATTTTGTGGAATATTTGTGGTTTGGGAGCATTTAAGAAAAGAGTAGCAATTAAGAAATTCATCAAGAATCAGTGTCCAGATGGCCTGTCTTCAAGAAACAAAGAAGTTGCAGTCTGACATTAAGATTATTAAATCTATATGGACAAGGTTATTGGTTGGGCATGTTCAAGTTTTCATCAGTACTTTGAAGATGCTATTTTTTTATTTGCCGAGAATATGAAGATGTGTTATCAATTTGGAGGCTTGGAATTTGTTTCGAAAGTTTAATTTCTTAATAAGTTTGATTGATTTTTTAAGGAAAGAGAAGTTGAAAAGGTTCGACTGTCTTTTCAGATTCCATCTTTAAGAAGAGTCCTTGCTGCTGGTTCTTTATGCCTTGCCATCACATATTGTAGATAAGAGTTTTTAAGGGGCCAGTGCAGTAAGGGTTTGTTGATCATTCGAGAAGTTTTTATTTTGATTTTGGAGTATAATTTGGTTGGAAAGTCCTGTCTTAATTTATGGAGATTTTGAAGAGGTTTTTCTTTGTGGGCAGTTTCTTGAATGGTTGGAAGAAAGAAAGGAGTAGCTTTTAATTCTCATTGGGAAGTTACTTTTAGAAGGTGAAAGGTTTTGGTGGTTTTTTAAAGACAACAGGAGCTGAATATTAGAATCCGAGGAGTTTTCTTTATTTCCAAGGAGAAACTATGTTTAAGTTGGGCTTCAGTTTTCATGAAATACTTTAACCAACGATTGGATAGTCTTTTGGAAAGTGAGAAGTCTTTTTTTGATTGGAGGTATGCATTCATTTTTGTCTTCTTGAAGCTGCCTTAATTTCCAGCAGGGTATTATCAAAATTTGGGGAGTTTCCTTTATTTTTTCAAGTGATTAAAGCCTCTTCCCAATGGTTTGCTTATCTCTCCAGCAGGGTCTTTCCATGTGTCTGCTTTGATAAGTTGGTTTTATTTATGTCTTGGTTTTCTAAAGCTCATATATTAGACCAAGGTTATTATCTCTTGGATGGTAGCTCTTAATTAGGTGCATTGGGTGTTGCTCTTCTCACTGATCTCTTTTTATTCGGCCGATTGGACGCAAGTTTCTTCAAGATTTTTTGCCGATGCTTTCAGAGTGTCTTATCGGAGTTCTTCATCGCTGGCGAATGGGTTTTATTGTTCCTTTCCTTTTCTATGTTATTGCTCCTTGTTAACCTTGTCCATCTTTCGTCTTATTGCTTATCCCTTTCTTCGACAGGAGTTTGTATCTTTAACATTTTTCTTCATATAATATAGTTGTTTCTTGTTCAATAGTAAAGTTGTTTCTCGTTCAATAGTAAAGTTGTTTCTCGTTCAATAGTAAATTTGTTTCTAGTTCAACAAAAAAGGTAGGTAGACCAGCAAATAAGAAAAAAGTCGGATGATGAAAGAAATACATAGGAAAGGCCAAAAAACTAAGCAGTACAAATAAGGGCATTCCAAGAACCACAAATAGTGCCAGAAGAATAGTTCTTGGACAAAGATGAAATAGATAGAACACCATTGAACTTAGCTAATTCAAAACATTCCAACCAATCCTTGCTCTTGAAATCAAAGACTTTGATTTCTCTCAAACCACAATTCCGACAAAATAGCTTTGACCACATTTACAAGCATCAAATGAACTCCATGCAAGGAAAAGATATATTTTTGAGTGTCCAGTTTTAAGAGGTTCAATTTAATAGTGTCAACATTCCATTGGTCTAAGGATGAAAGTCAAACAAGAACCACATATCAAATTAAGTACTAGGTTTCCCAATAAAAGAAGCAAAGGAAGGAACCACATACAGTCAGTAACCTTTGTTGAACCTGGCGAACCCACATCCAACCAAAAATGAAATGCAGCATACAGGATGGCTATACCAATAACAGCCATGCCAACAACAACTATGGCAGAAAAACCACCAGCACGGACAGCAATCTGCAGAACATTTAGCAGTAAGATATGGACAAAACTATTTTAGATAGTAAACTGGAAGAGAGGACAACCTGCAATGCCTCCCTCGCAGACCGCCTTGCAGCACTAGAGACCCTAACATTTGCACGAACTGAAACCCACATTCCAACATACCCCGCAATACCTGAACACAAAGCTCCTAACAGAAACGCTGAAACAGTAATGTAAGCAGATGTTGACCTGCAATAGAAAAAGCTCAACAAAAATATTTGACAGAAAAAATGTATGCAGAAGGTCAAGAGAAAAGCTTTAAACTAAGTTTAGTTGCATAAAATTTCTCACCTCCCTATCCCAGAAGATTCTTGTTGAGGAGTAGTACTTCGAAATAAATATATGCAAAGAATAACTACGGCAAGTAACATAGCCATTTTAGAGATGGTACCATACTGCGTCCTAAAGAAACCTTCTGCCCCATCACGTATTGCCTCCGAAATCTAAAAGACAGTGAAAGAGACAGAGGCATAAAGAAAAGTCAAAACAGTAACATGGATCATATTGTTTTGTGGATAAATGGGACGTCCCCTAACAAATAATCTCACATGACAAACAAATTTTATGTACCGGTTGTTAGCCAGGGCTCTTGCTTGATGTATTTTGTTGTATCTTTAGTGGCGACTACGGAAGAAACTTATGTATCCCATTATATTTATATTGAATGATTTTCGGAGCTGTCCTAGGTTTTTTCACCTTACATCAAGGGATTTTCCGCATAAATCTTGGTGTCTCTATTTTCTTTTGCGTGCTTGTGACTTTATTTCTTGCAGTTAAGCTATCAACCATACATTAAAAATCCCAACAAATAGTTACAAAATGTTTGTCATAAAAGAATGATCCTCACACAAATTTACTACTATTTAGTGTCATACTTGATACTTTACTAGGCATCAATAAAGCATCAATAAAGCATCAATAAAGCATCAATAAGAGGTTGTAAACTATTAGCATCATATTACATGCAAGTAGGATAACATTCATTGAAACTTCTCTCGTGACAACAAGCTAAATGCATCTGTTTGCAAAAATAAATAATAATAAAGAAAATAAAGAACACATAAATGCATGTCTCATAATCAAATTCTCAAAAACCTCCAATAAGGTAAATAAATCCAGGTCCTACGATGTACCTGAGCCATCTCCTGTGGCCCTTCATCTTTCAAGAGCACCCATTTAGTAAGATATATTGAAAAGCAGAAGCTGACAATGCAAATTGAGAAGACAAACACGATAATAGGGGAAGTGCTTGCTCCAATGTAGAAGATTAATCCAAATGCAAAGAGAAGAAGTACTAAGAGAACACGAATATTTATCCCCATCAAAATTCGAAATATCTGCCAAAAGGACAAGATCAAACACAAGTGAGAATTATTCTATGATACAGAAAAATAAAATAAGAATGCTAAAATGAGAAGTACAACTCTAAATCATCAATATGAATGGAAGAAAAAAAACAGGGGCCATACAAAAACAAAGTCCCAAAGAAAAGTTGTAGCCTCACCAGAATTAAGAAAGAAAAAGGGAAAGATAATGCAACCTAATTGTATGCAGAAGAAAATACGCTCAAAAGTTCTATCAGTTTATGATGATGTATACTTCAAATTATTTGTTTATGACTCGACTAGTCTTATCTTAATCTACTAACACAATGCTGCAACAACTAGATTTTTCACCATCATAAAGTCTTTCATTGAGGTATATCAAGAAAAGAACATATTCAATGGGAGGGATTTTGTACATGGACAATCAAGGGTGCAAAGCCAGTGAGGAGTTCTACTTGGCTGTACAAGAGCATAATTCTTTTTTAGAACAAAATACAAACTTCTCATTGAAATAATGAAAAGAGAATACTACAATGTTCCAGGATACAAACTCCCAATGGGAGTGAAAGTAGCCAAAAGAAAAATAAACGAGAACATCAAAAGGAAAAACCAGAATACAGAAGAAACAAACAATAAGAACCATCAGGTTTGGCTATGAGACGAGACAAAGAAGTTTAACCGATACAGAATTGTAACCATTTTGATTTAAATATACGATTCCATGGTCACATACCCATACATTTCAGTTTTAACACATTCTCCTAGTTTGATAGATATAAACCCAACAAAGTCATCGGTGATATGATGTGCAAAATCAAAGTTGATAGAATCAAAATCTCACATTTCAAGTAGGACATGGCCAATTGAAGTAGATTTAAAGGAAGACAAGGAATAAAGACGAAAAAGCGATGACAGGTGGTATCTCCTATCCACCAATATTCCCTAAAACAAGTGTCCAAACTAAAAACGTGATAAATTCAGAAAAAGGAGAGTAAAATGAAGAGATAGTCTTCCAAAGGTTCCTGTAAGTGCCTTTCATCCCCTGAACTCCCCCGCTTAGAAGGACGAGCTCCATACACGTTTACAACGAATTTATCTTTAAGAAATCTTAGATTCCTTAATGGACCACAAGTTCCAAAGAATAGCTTTGACCATATTTTGGAGAAGAAATAGAAGTTGACAAATACTATCCTTTGAACTTTATAGAACAAGCACCAATGTAGATTTAAAATCTTGAAAAGCTACACCCTAATCTTACCACTAAGGAGTCGTTTATTTTATGGGAATCTAAGATATTCACCTCATGGGCATATTAATTTCCATGTTTGGATTGTGCTAACCTCGAGATAGCCAAATACTTTAGGATGTTGAGCATCTTAGAATGCCATCTTTTAAAATTGTTTTGATTCCCCCTATAAAATATGGATTTTTAACATTCCTTTCTCCAAACATCTATAAAATAAATTATTTTACTGCTTACATTAATTATTATTCAATAAGCAGATGCATCAATTTATACGATGAATGATCTTTAAAAAAATTTGTCGAACATGTAAGCACATTGATTAATAAAGGGTAATTATTCATCTTTATTATTTTATGGAATTCATCTTTTAGTATTAACTAGTGATTAAATTAATTATATGGATAAAATATTGTTCTTTATTATTATTATTTTTTATTATTATTATTTTTTAACAACAAACGAACGTTTCATTGATTAATGTAAAGGAACAATAAAATGTTCAAAGAGACAAACTCCCAAAAGAGAGAAAAAACAACAAAAACATACGAACCAAACCTCAAAAGGAAAAAGAAATGAAGAACTCCCAATTCAAATAGAAGGGATGTATCTTTACTATTATTCATTACATGAATAGATTAATTCCTTCCACCCTGTAAGATGGTTAGAAGTTAAAATTTTAGAAGAGAGGTTCTTAATATATTTAATATCATAAATATATTTTTCCACCAAACTATTATCTTCAATTTCAACTTGATGATGCGAATCTCATGGCCTTATTGTCCTTGTGGGGAATTTGTTATTAGCCTAGGTTGAAAGATTCTCATCATTGGTTCCCTAATTCTTTTGCAGGGTTTTTGTTTTCATTTAAATCCTTCATGTGTCTGTTAGAACCTCTCCCCTCTCATTGCTCCATTTTTTCCTCGCTATGGAAGGTTAAGATACTAAAGAAGGTCAGATTTTTTTGCGTGGCATGTCTTACACATAACCTGTATTGCATTACAAGCCATTCTTCTTTCCTAATAGGATTGCAGTGTTGTATTCTTTGGAGGGGACCAGCAGGAGATCTCGATCATCTCTTGTGGTTTGGCCAATTCGCATCCTCTGTACCGATAACTCCATTTTTGTCGGATCAACGTCAAGGTTCTTGATAGTGTTTTCAAAGCGCAAGACGCACCTCAAGGCAACAACCCTCTTTATCGCCTAGGCAAGAGGCGATAAAAAGACATTGTCCGAGTGAAGTGAGGCGCACTTAATAAAATAATAAAGATATATTATCTGCGACAATTTATGTACAAAATAAAATATTCTTGATGAAAATATTTGTAAAACTATTTGACGTGCAAACAAATTTAACTTAAATAATTAAGAAAAATTAAAAACAAAACTTTGTTAAAATAATGGTTAAATAGAAAGATATAAAAACATTATATTGAAATTAAACAAAAATTAAACCCAACTAAAATAAAAAGATGGTAGAGTGCTTATTGCCATCTAGCATTTTGCTACCAGATGGCAATTTCATGCGACTATTTTGACTAACACTAGCACTAGCACGTCTAAGCTTGAAAATGTAAAAAGAAAAAAGAAAAAATGAAGAGAGAAAGATTGAAGCAACAGATTCGAGTTGCCAATTTTTGGATTTTCCCTCTTCAATTCTTCTTCTACTTCTTTGATTATTCATCTTCGATTCTTTGATTTTTCTTCTTCAAACTTCGACTTTTATTCCCAATTAAAGAATTGATGAAAAATAATTGAAGAACGAAAGAATAATTGATGCAGAACATTAGAAGAATGGAAAAAGAATCAAACGAAAACATGAAAACAAATTGAATGCGGACATGGGGAGAGCGCCTACTTGCCATGAAGACATGTTCATGGCGACTGAAAGGCACAAATGGCGAGCTCCTTATTGAAGGTGCTCGCCTAGCCAATCACTCAACCGACCAACTCATTCCTCGCATCGCCCCTCACCATAGGCGCTCGCCTGGGTGCACCTTGAAAACACTGGTTCTTGTGACTGGTGCTTCTTCAATACTGAGTTCCTCCTCCACGGTCGTTGCAGTGTGTTCGTCTCCTTCATTAAGGCACAGTAGAACTTGTAACACTTCTTTTTACAACGATGACCTGAAGTAAATTTCTCATTGCACTTGAAGCAGTGACCCTTCTCCTTCCGAGATTTGAGTTCACTGTCCAAGACTTACTTCAACGTACTCGACGCCAGCCCTTTTGTCGAGTTTTAAAGAAGAGGCGTGATGGAGGTAGAAGAAGCGGTCAAGCGGTCCGGCGTCAGATTAGGCCATTCCATCCAGGATCTTACTCACGGCCTCTCGCCTAAACTGCCCAAGGAACACCTTCGATCTTCGACCAGGGTTGCCTTATGAGATATAGAATCCTCTCAACTGAGTCAATCCTATACGTTAACTGCGCTGCCTCGTGGTTGGTTACTCCACATCAGAAGCTTGCCATCTACTTCATCAGAATTCCTTCTGCAATTCCTTCACAAAAACAGACTGGGATAGTGATGATAAGATCGGAATACAATGATCTTATCTAAAAGCGAAATTTAAACAAATTAATTTCCATTAATTTACAATAATAAAATTAAATTAAACACTTGAAATATCTAGTTTCAGTATCAGCTGGGCTGTGAATCTAGATATGGGTCATTGATGTCGTAGCCTTCGAAGGGATCGAAGTCGTCTTCGTCGTCTTCAACATCATTATTGACAGAGGCGGAGGAATCAACATCCGTCTGAAGGTCGTCTGGATCAGAGATCTGAATCGTGACTGTATTGAGAACTGAGTTGAAGTCGGTTTGAGATCCGGCTCCAGCTAGTGAGCTCATGACGGCATTTTTGGCTAGAAGGAAACTCTCGTCTTCTTGCCTCGTCATCTTAAAGATGAACATTGGTCTTAAACCAGTTTTGGGTCACGGGTTTAGCGCTAGGATTTTCAATTTTTTCTACATTCCCTCCCCCATTTTTCGATGGGTCGTTCCGTTGTCTTAAAAAAATTGGGCCATCGCCATTTTAGCCTCAAAGCCCACTGGTTTCAAAGCCAAGGTTCTTCATGAATTTCCTCCGTAAGCCCCTAATAAACTTGCTTCCCATAATCGACTCAGGCATAACCTTAATCTACACTGTAGCTGCTCGACCCTTCAGCAATAAGCTTTCACCATGGAGTCCTGTTTTAACACCATAAACTACACACTCTGATCGCCGTCCTTGGATTATCGAAACCTATCCAACAATTGCTTGCGAAATTCAGCCCAGGTGGTTGTCGTGGTTCTACTCTCTACCCACATATGGCACCTCCAATTTCTGTAATCGCATATCAAACAAGGGAACTTCCCGATTATTGATCAGGTTACCCCTCCTGCAGCTGGCTTTGGAGCTTGCTTCTTTCTCCTTCATTTCCACTCCTACCGAGTTTGTTCCCTTATTAGTTCGGGTTCTCTCCGACAACTCCACAATTACTACTACCCTCACCATAGCTTCCAATCTCCCGAACATCTCCTCTAATCCTTCCGTCAATTTTTGCTCGATCACGTGGCCCATCTCTTCCTAGAATTGCGACAATTGTTGATCGATTCAAGCTTCTGTGCATGCTTGTAGTTACCCTCTTCTAAAGTATTCATTCTAGTTTCCATCTTACCCACCATTCCCTATTAGACTTGCGCTCTAATACCAGAATTCTATGGCTCAATTTCATTTATCAAAACACAGCATCATAACAAGAGAGATTTTGAGAGCTCCCCAACTCTCCCTCAAGGACTCACTGAGCCTTACAGATTTCACAATGCAAAAAGATACCCCTCCCCCGCAAACTTCTATTTTAACATCTCCCCTCCTCACGCCACTGCCCTTACACCTCATTCCTTCTAACCAACAATATTTCGAAGGCCCACACAATCCCCCCTGCTTACTGCTTACATGGCTCCCTCCTGTCTCACATGCTTACATTTATAATATTTAGTGATTTGGGGTCTATCAAACAACTAGTAAACCCACCTACGACAAAAATTGACCATTGTCCCTAAACGGAGGATGATGGAGAGCCTCCTCCAGCATTGAGCAGCACTCCCTAACATGAGCAAGGTAGACCCCAAAAATCTTAACCAAACAATCCCACACAGACACAGCAAACTAACAAGACCAAAGGAGATATCGAGATCCTCAATCACTCCCCTACAAAGAATAGGGCACTGGGGCCAATCAAAGCAAAAAAAAATGTCTCTACATACAGTCCAAAGTATTAACACTACCATGTAAAACCGACCAGGCAAAAAATCTAATCTTCTTTGGAACCTTAACCTTCCAAAGTAAAGAAAAAACAATGCAGCATGAAGGATGGGTTCCACTAGACATAAGAAGAAGGATCCACAAGAAAACCCTTCCAAAGGATTAGGGGACCAAATACAAGAATCTCTCCCCCTAAATTAATAACAAAGTCCCCCAACAAGGCCACGAGATCCGACGTCTCCCTACTAGACAAAGGACAACGATGCCTATCAGAAACCAAGAACTAGAGAATAATTGATGCCTAATGAGGGCAGGACTAAATTCATTGACCGACCCCTCATAGAAAAAAGGTGGCAAAGGTGAGGGAATAAAGAATTGAACGGGACGATCCTCAAGCCACCCATGGTCCAAAGTATAAAATTTGCCATGTGAGATCTGTTGTGCAAAAAATCTAATCTTTTTTAGAATCTTAACCTTCCAAAGCAAAGAAAAAGCAGTGCAGCGAGAAGGATGGAGGTCCACTAGACACAAGAAGAAGGGTCGAAAGAAAACCTTCTTGGTAATTTTACCACTTCACCTAAACCTTCCCAAGAGATGATTCTACCTAAATTATTGAAAGCCGCTGTGAAAGGCATAAAGACCATATCCTCTTAGTTTTGCAAAGGAGAAGTTTTGGAACATTGTAATAGTGAATTTTTCAAAGACGTTCCAGATTTTGGCCGAAAAATAGAAACTTAAAATGCTAAAGCTGTAAAATAAAATAGACCACAAAAGCTGTAAATTAGAATATAAAATTAAAGCCCTAAAAGTTGTAAAATCCAATACCAAAAATCCCAACAGGACTTGGAACAACCTAGACTCTAATCATACAAGATAATTTGATTCAAATTTATCGTCCACTGAGTGCAAATATGCTAAGCGGCTAAACAACCATATAACTACATGATATTGCTAGTTAAGTCATTAAGAGCAAAATACACTACAAGCACATGGTACAAGTCAGATAATCACGGTTTTCAATCCAATAGTAAATATATCAACATATACGAGAATTAGAACACAGATTTGACCGGATTCAGGTACTTACCAATGGGGTGTTGACTTTATTACGCATGTCAGGGAAAGTCCTTGGCCTGTCTTGGTATGCCCCCAAACTAGCATTTTCAATGTCATCATCCATGAGCACAGTATGGGCGGAATTTACCCTCCGTGCAATAGGATAAGGGTTATACTCGCCACCTTGGGGCAAATCGCCCCCTGACCCCGGTCGCTGTATTTTGGAAATTCCTATCTAACCAGCCACGGATTATAATATGAAAAGCACCAACTACAGAAGAATGGCGAAGAATTCCCTACTCATGGACTGTAGATCCTTCAAATCAACTGAAAAGCTACACCCTTCACTTTGCTCCCCTGTGAATAAGATTCAGGGTGTTAGTTCAAACAAACCGAATCCCCTGATAAAGATGAAAAATAAGTACGTAAAAAACATAAATTTAAATCGTCGTATACAGAGATTCCCCAAGCAAAGTTACCCAGAGAAAAAAAAAACAAACAAAACAGAGAAATGTTAAGGAAAAATATAAATGGGTGAATATATAACACCAAACGCATCAAAACCCTAAACGATCTACTCCATGAAGAAAAGACAAACTGCGTCGGATGATAGATACAATGTCAGACGAATATGAGAGACCGATCGGAGAAGAAGGATTAGAGACAAAGATCTAAGGACAAGAAGCTAACAAGGAGAAGATTACCAGAAGCAGAATGGATTGGGGCAAAATGGTTGGCGACTTGTGATGCGATGCGCGTTGGACTAGTGCGACTCTGAGAGTTTAGAGAGAGAGGATTCAGAAAGGACTTATCTGAAGAGGTCTTCGACTTCCTCTTCTCGTTCTACCGTTTTCTTCGAATGTGATTTGTTTGATGGGGCTTTGTCGAACTCAAACTAGTGACAATTGCAACGTACAAAGCTGGCGAGCGTTCGGGCGGATCCAAGCGCTGCGTGGGTGCTGGTGTGGTCAACGAGTGGGGTGTCAATTTTGCCAACTATTTTCCCTTTCCCTCTTCCATTGTTTAACGCCAGCCAATTACCGTGTGTATTCCCGCATTTTGTCGGTTATGTTATGTTAATAAATAATTTAGGTTTTTTTTGGATAAATATAATTTAGGTTAAATCATACCAAAAAAATCAGCTAAAGACACGTGGCAATTACTGTTGAGCTAAAATTCATGTTGATAAATTTTGTACAACGTTTGTGATGATGAACTATCCTTGCAAATTTTATTTTCTCTTAAATCTTTGGGTTGCTAGAGGATGAACAATATTTTATATAAGCTCTAATGATGCCATTTTTAATGTGACTAGGACTTTTTTTTTAATATTTTATAACTCATCACCATGCTAGATTTTTATGGGAAAGCTAATGAAAAAGTTGTTTTGAACCATTTTAAAAGTCAAGGGTAAAATGATACATTTTAAACTATAGGAGTATAGTTGAAACTTAATCCAAAGTTCATGAGCACAATTGAAATTTAATCCAAATTTTTCCTTACGTAGTTACAACCCCAATTTATACCTCTTTCCTAAACAAGGCTTCAAAAAACCTAAAAACGCTCTCTTAAGAGTTGTCAATCGCATGATATGTTGAAGGCCACATCGCGTCGAATTCCTGTTCTCTCAATCAATCTTTGACAAAGTCTTGAATGATAGAGCTCAGGATAGATTTTAGGAAGTAAGAGGTTTGGTCGACCCTTCACTTATTACCGACAAATTTCTCACCAAGTGACTAATACTTCACTCATTGCTGTTAAATTTCTCACCGTGGTTGGCGACGCCATTGAAGTAGGTCTCTTATTCTCTTTTCCGTTCAATATCTCACTTGTTTGGCCATTATTGGGACCATGGAGCGATCACTTGTACCAACTTTCATTAGATTTGGATTACTTTATCAACTTGTGGGTTAATTAATTTATTAGGTCTATGGTGGATGGCAATGGCGATGGGAGAAAGCCAAAGGGAGCGGGAAATAAATCAAAATCTATTTTTTATTTTTGTTTTTCACATCAATATCAAAGATATTATAAAATCAATTAATTATCCCAACGTGGCTATCAAATATAATAGTCAATCTGGTGAAACTTACCTTATTGACAACACCATTAAATAGTGAACCATCAAAGAATACACACCTATTACCTTTTATAACTAGCCATAGAAAGACAAGTTAAGAAAGTGAGTGATTACCGACCAAGTGGCACCTAATTCTGTTTCACTCATCAACAGTTAAATGGATCAAAGATTTTGCTAAATGCAAAAAGTTCCAAAACGTACAATAGTTTCAAAAGTGCTTGAAATGGAAAGGAGAATTACTTGGCCAAAAGCCCAAAATATACCTGTCAAAAAAACAAGCTGATAGGGCAACATGGAGCATTCCCTGAAACATAAATTTAGAACAATATAGATTCAAAATCCCGAATTAGATTAAGTTGGGAAGAAAGCAAAAACATATCTTTACTTGACGTATTTGTGAACTTGTAACTGTAAACATTTTGAACAACTATGCACAATGCCACATTACTAGTATAAAAATATGCAGATGTGGTATGCTCCAAACACAGTCCCATTTCCACACTTGCAATGGCAACTTGTTATGCAACTTCAACTAAATTTGTTCTTCTCATAGCTCTGCTGTTGTTCAGTGATATTATTGCTAAGAGAGAGAGTGTTGATGGTGCCTCTACCGACCAACCTGGCAAGAGATGGGCAATTTTGGTTGCTGGCTCCAGTGGTTATGAGAATTATAGGCATCAGGTGATTCAATAAGAACCAATTCATAGTCATACCAACATACTGATATTAACTGCGTCTCTTTTTCTTTTCTAGGCGGATGTATGTCATGCATACCAAATACTGAGAAAGGGTGGTCTCCCAGATGAGAACATAATAGTTTTCATGTATGATGATATTGCATTCAATCCAAGCAATCCAAGGCCAGGAGTCGTTATCAACAAACCAGATGGTGTCGATGTTTACCAAGGAGTTCCCAAGGACTATACAGGAGAGCATGTGAATTCGATCAACTTTTACGCTGTCATTTTGGGCAACAGATCTGCTCTCACTGGAGGAAGTGGTAAGGTTGTCGACAGTGACCTTCACGATCATATTTTCATCTACTACACTGACCACGGTAGCGCTGGGTTACTAGGTAAGTTATACTTACAACTCTTTTGTCTCAACAAAATAGTGTTCTGTTAGAAATTTGACAATATTACTTCACACAACCAAAGGAATGCCCGAGGGTGATTATGTTTACGCCAAGGATCTAATGGAAGTGCTGAAACAAAAGCATGAAGCCAAAAGCTACAAAAGCATGGTACCTAAATTCCATATAATGGCATAGCAGTTATGAAGTTCAAATTATCGAAGTAAAATTATAAGTTGACATAAAAATTCAGGTAATATATGTGGAAGCATGCGAGTCGGGAAGTATGTTAGAAGGATTACTTCCAGAAAACATAAAGATATATGCAACGACGGCATCAAATGCAACAGAGAATAGCTGGGCAACATATTGTCCTGGACAGTTTCCCAGTCCTCCCACAGATTATGATACTTGTCTGGGAGATTTGTACAGCATCGCTTGGATGGAAGACAGGCAATATTTTCTTTACACCCTCTGCCTATATAACAAAGCTAACTTGTACCTAGCCAATCCCCGCCATATTAAAATGAATTTGTGTTGTGCCATGATATGCAGTGACAAACATGATTTGAGCAAGGAAACTTTAATCCAACAATATGATGCGGTACACATTTTAATTCCTAAATAAGCTCAATTTTTTTAAATGACATGATGAATGTGTTTGTAAATTGCCAAAATGCAGGTTCGAAGAAGAACTTTGGTCGATAAATTCGGTTATGGTTCTCATGTAATGTTGTATGGAAACAAAAGCATCGGCAACAATTCCCTTGACACTTATATTGGTGCTAACCCTGATAACTACAACTATACATCTTCTGTCCAGAGTACTGATACTATCGCTCCACCATCAAAGTTGTTGTACTCAAATGCTGTTAGTCAGCGTGATGCTAGTCTCATTCATTACTGGCACAAGGTATGACTTCTTAAACAACAAATATAGCTTTTCTAATCATGACTGCAGTCTACTACATAGTCTAAACGTGTAAAATTTTGCTTTGACAATAATTATCAGTTTCAAAAAGCTCCATTTGGCTCTAGAGAAAAAACGGAGGCTAGAAAGCAGTTAGAGGATGAAATTTTGAATAGAAGGCACGTTGACTCCAGTATATATCACATTGCTAAACTTCTGTTTGGACAAGCAAAGAGCTCAGAAGTGCTGAACAATGTTAGGCAGCAAGGACAATCCCTCGTTGACGATTGGGGCTGCTTCAAGAAGTTTGTAAGTCCTATTTTTAAGACCTGCCTAGCTATATTTTATAACATTAAAAACTCTCCTGATGCAATCTTTAAACCACAGGTGAAAACCTACGAGAAACACTGCAGAAGACTATCAAGATATGGGATGAAATACACACGAGCTCTAGCTAACATATGCAATGCTGGGATTACAATAAACCAAATGGATCAGGCCTGTCTGGAAACTTGCCTTGTAAAAACCTGAAGCTAAATTAGCTTCTCTTTACCTAGCAATGCTAGTTCCCACTATGTGACCGTGAGGCAATTATAAATATATAAAATCTACAATGCAAATAATAAATTAATAATATTTATGTTGAACTGGCACCATCAATCATCTCAAGCCCTTTCTTCCATAACTCGATCAAACTATCTACTAGAAAACTTGTTTCGAGCTTCTCTACAGGGTAGATTCCGTAAAATTAACTTCATCAAAAAACAATATATCTGGAAAAGAAAAAAAGTGCTGATGATTCATCAAAGGTTACCACATACTACCAATGACAAAGAATTCAATGCCAAGATCATGATATAAGTACAGCACAGAGCCAGACACCCCCCTCCTCTCTCCCGGTAACCAAAAAGTTGAGGTTAATTTGGCCATTTGACTGAACGGAAACTGCAGAGTTTTCTTCTACAAAGGCAGTCGATTATTTTCAAAAAGTTATGACTAAAGAGACAAGTACCTTACACATCAATGGGTGATAGAAATATTGAAAGTCGTGTTCCTCAATCTTTTCCTTATTCCTTTCCTCTCTGGTCTTTCAGGCTAAGTGGAAAATCTACCCTTCGATGTTGATGATTCATAAAAGGTCACCATGTGCACGGAATTCGAAAGAAAAAATTACCATGAGCATAATATCATTGTATATCCTATCATTTACCAAGCAACCAAATGAGATTAATCAAGGTGCATACAAGCTGCTCCGAACACTCATGGATATTATAAAAAAAATTAGTGTTCTAAAAAATGTAGTCGATTATTTACACAGTTGTATGACTAAAGACAAAAGTTCCTTACACTTCAGTGGGTGAAGAACAACTTGAATTTTGTGTTCCTTTGTTGCTCATAAACTCAACAGCAAACTCCTCATCATTTTTACCCAACATATCTTTTAAACTATATTCTACATCCCTTCCCTTCAACACACAGAACCTTGGAGTTATCTTCTTTTCCAATGAATAGCTAAAATACCTTGGATAGTCAACAACTTCCTTTATGGGTTTCTCCATGATATTTACAAGAAAATCTAGTTTGGGTTTCAAAACCTTCTCTATACTATACCCCAGGAGAGGAGAGAATCTACCAACCATGAAGGCAATTTCCCTTTCAGAGAACCCTCTCTGCCTCAGGTACCTAATACTGCAAACATTATGATCATTATTAGAATTTGGGCCAGAACACAGAACAGGATAATGTAGTCATGACAATTTCAACTACAACCGGAATAATTTTAGATAACAATTTTCCATCTATTTATAATCTTTCATAGGCCCCTTTACCTTTCTTCCCATTTCGAAAAAAGTGGGTTAGGCATAGGTACAAGCAGAGATGATGAAAGTTTTAGTTTTTTCTTATATGAAAGACCGATTTTAGTTCTTTTTAAATTTTAAGCGTAATGTAGGTTTAGTTTTTTCTTGTATGGAAGACCGATTTTACTTCTTTTTAAATTTTAAGTGTAATGTAGGTTGGATAATGAATTTTGTGATGTTAAGTATATTGATTTGTTTTGTTCAATTTGTGTGGTTAATTTATGCAAAAGTATTACTATAATCAATTCATATGCATATATTATCTATAAACAATAAAATAAAAAAATAAAGTGTCCCCAACGTGTCCGTGTCCTATATTTTAAGAAATTGGCGTATCGCCGTGTCCGTGTCGTGTCCATGTACGTGCTTTTTAGCTTGATACCTCTAAGCCAGTATAACCAAGAGACCTCAAGCCCTTGCCAAGACCCCAAGCCCTTGCCAACGGGATTGTCCCTTGGGGGCCTTTATTTCAACGGTCAATCTCCTTTTCTTTGATTGTTATACATCAATCAGATTGAGAGTAACTTTACTTGGAGTTGATATTTATCATTGTGAATTACAATTTTAAGTTGTTAACTTTTCAATCATATGGTTAGTGATACATAAATTTGGAAACTTTTGAGTTTATCATTATACACATGTTCACTGCATAAAATTAATTACGACATTTTAGTATAATATATAATTAATTTAGGTCTAGATTTACAAGAACAATTCTTTGAATTAAAGAATTAACAATGATGACTCCTTGCAGTGATCGAATGAGAATACAGTATTACAATAGCGGGAGAAAATTCTTTCCCTCTCTTCTATAATTCTAAATAGTGAGGTGAAAAAAGTCGTGATGTGCAACTTAAATTATAAATTACAAGTGATTAAATTATAGCAACCTACATGTTACATCTAAACATTTTCGGTTTTTGACACAACAAATATACTAAAACAAACCAGAAATCCAATGAAATTAATTAATAACAAAAAAAGATCTAATATATAATTGAGTTGCTCTTAGAAAATAGCAAATTACTTTGACACACACTTTTATCGTAAAGATGTATTTTAGTAATTTGTATAACTTATCAATTTAATAATGTATTTTTTTTTCATGTAGATAATTACAAGTTTCATGGTCATTACTTTGTTTCTATGACTACCAATATTTTTCCCCTTCTAAACAAATTTTATGGCCTCTGTCCATGAGTATAAGCTACGCCCAACAATTTTACCACACCAAGACATATCTAGACCGAAGTAGAATCTAAGCATTACCGTGGGAGTAAAGTTCTGTCAGGGTCAGACACAAGAAGCTCGGGATATTTTCTAATAGCCCGAGATAGGTTAGTCTTAGAAACACCAACACCGGTAAGAAATTCAAGCTTCCTCTTCAGTGTTTTCTCAACACTAGCTGCAGATATTTCTGGACAACGAACAATTATCGTGCCAACACTTTCTCGATCAAACCCTATCTCTTCCAAATATGAAACGACCTGTATTTGCATCGTTCTAATTATAAAATTCAGAAGTTCCCAAACGATCTAAAATAAAACATCAGAAACTGGGGAGAATATCATCATATTAAGCAATACAATATTTTCTAATTAATGTTGGAAAATAGACATAAAAACAACCACAATCAAGGGAGAACGCTCCATGTCATTCAGATGAGAAATAAATTGACGAACAAAATTTGTATGTTGTGTCCAACATACACAGTTAGTTGGCTGGGGATGGGGCGTCGATTTCTTACGGGAGGACTGTTGGCTGGGGATAAACCTCTTTGTTGTCTCTTCCCTGGTCTTTATCATTTGTCCTCGTTTAAATTGGTGCCAATTGCATCTATTCTTATTCTCACTAGAGACTCCTTATCGTTCAACTTTGGCTTTGACCATCCATTGTAAGATCATGAGTCTTGAGATGTTTCTTTGCTCTTGTCCTTGCTGGCTAATTTCTATCCTCATGCGGGAATTAGGGATATTTGTTTTTGGTCTTCTAGCCTGTCTAGAATTTTCTCTTCCAACTCCTACTTTCTATTCTTCGTGGATCCACCCTTTCCATGGATTCTTTGATCTTATTGCTCTAGAAGGTTCGAATCCCCAAGAAGGTGATATGATCATAGTTGGCAACAACTCCTTTAACCCACAAAACACTGCCAAACACCAAGAAGAGACATGCACAAGTCACAACGGTTCCACGTAGGAAAAAGATTCATTGGACCCATACGCTTTAGTTGTCGCGTATCAGAAGGTCAGATTTATTGCCCGACAAATCAGCCATGGGAGGATTAACACAATGGATTGCATACAAAGATCGTCTTTTGTTGTGCTAGGGCCCAGTGGTGTAAAGTGTGAAAGAAGACCACAAAAAGTTTCGATTTGAGATAGCTTCTTGGGGGACTTTCGATGTGCAGCAGGCTCCTAGTCGCTCGTACAGGCTTATGAAGGGGAAGTTTTGTTTCATCCCCCTTTTCAAGATAGAGGGGTGTTTTTGTGGCAAGGGCTTTTTTCGTGATTTTATGGAACATTTGATGTGCAGCAGGCTCCTAGTCGCTTGAATAGGCTTATGAAGGAGGAAGTTTTGTTTCATCCCCTTTTCAAGATAGAGGGGTGTTTTGTGGCAAGGGCTTTTTTCGCGATTTTATGAAACATTTGCCTGGAGAAAAGGAGAGTTTTTAGCGATGAGGAAATTTCTTGGGAGGTTTGGGAGCTTGACTAAGTTTAATGCCTCCCTTTGGACTTTTGGACTTCTGTCACCAAGGACTTTGATTTTCCTTTATCTCTCATTGTTTTGAATTGGAGCTCCTTTCTATAATTCCTCTCTTTCTTTATTTTGTTTTGGTTGCTTCTTGGCTCCTTTTTGGCCCGAGCTTCCCTTTTTTGTATGCCCTCTTGTATTCTTTCATTTTCTCAACGAAAGTTGTCATTATCGTCCAAGAAAAAACACATGGATATTACAAAATGCTGTTCCAAGTGGCAACGATCCAAAACGAATGTTAACCGCTTTTAAGAATGACTTAATAATTAAATTTACCGTAACCTATCATTTTGAGCTTTTGAGTTCAATAGTAGTTTAACATGGTATCAAAGTAGAAGATTCTATGTTTGAACCCTTCAAGTAGGCTTAGACAGTCATAAATATCAAAATACACACAACATTGGTGGTCACTTGTGCTAATTTTCAAGCCAAGAGTGGGGGTGTTAAGAATATAAATAAATGATTAAATATATTGTAAGTTGTAACCCATCATAGTGGATGTGTACTGATAATCGTACTATAAATAAAATCACAGTTAAATATAGATTCCTCATTCCTGGTTACCTGATCTTCGAGAACGACTCTATGGATCTAAAATTGATCTTAGAACGGGTACCACCAAATTAGTATATGACCTAGATAAGAGCCAAAAATTTTAGTTTTATGGTGGAGCCAAAGATTTTATTCCTCGTTCCTAGTGCCACCAAATTAGTATATGATCTAAAATCAATCTTTGGCCCAAAGATTTTTGTTCAATGGTGGAGGAGCTTATTCTTTTGCCCTTACATAATATCGGTTGTTTTCTTTGGCACATTATCTTTTGTGCTATTTTATGGTGTCTTTGGATCAAGAGAAACAATATCCCTTTTAGAGGGGTTGAAATATCTTGGGAGGACATTTAGTTCCTTGTTAGGTTCTATGTCTCCCTTTTTGAGCTTCGTTGGTCAAGGTTTTTTTTGTAATCATCTTATTTTGTTAGCCTGGA